ACCAAAAGGTTGGAGGTTTGATTCCACCCAGAGGTGCCTTGGAAGAAAGTTCTGGTGATCTACTTCTGAAAAATCAGCCACTGAAAACCTTATGGCAGTCGGTTCTCCTCTGACACACATAGGGTTGCCATGAGTCAGAATCAACAGCAAATGTTTTTTAGGAGAACTGGTACATAGTAAGTGCTTAATAAACATTTGCTGAATGAATGAATGATGGTTGCCTGAGGGCTCTTCCAGGGAAGGATTTGGGTCCAAATTTTAATAATAATAAATTAAAACAAAAACAAAAACAAAAACGTTGCCATGAAGTTGATTCCAACTCATGGCGACCCTATAGGACAGAACAGAACTGCCCCATAGGGTTTCCTAAGAGTGTCTGGTGGATTTAAACTGCGGACCTTTTGGTCAGCAGCCAAGCTCTTAACTCCTGTGTCACCAGGGCTCCGAATAATAATAGTTGCTATTTATTGAGGCCTGAACGTGCACTGGGTTCTGTAGAAAGTACATTTTATGATTATCTCATTTAATTTTTAAGGCAACCCAATAGGAGCTATTTTTATCCCCATTTTTCAGATGCAGAAATTGGAGCTTAGAGAAGTTAGATCACACAGTTAATGCTAGAGCGCTGGTTCTCAAAGTGAGATCCCCCATCAACCAAAGCATCAGCATCACCTGGAAACCTGTTAGAAATGCAAATTCTTGGGCCCTACCCCAGACCTACTGAGTCAGCAACTCTGAGGTGGGGCCTAGCAATCTGAATTTTAACAAGCCCAGCAGGTGATTTTGATGCTCAAAAGTTTGAAAACCCTGTACTACAAGGAAACATGAGCTTATACTCTTTTTTTTTTTTAACAGCTGCACTGAGATATAATCCACATACTATACAACTCTCCCACTTAAAATGTACAATTCAATGATTTTTCAGTATAATTCACAGGCTTGTGAAACCATTACCAGGATCTAATTTTAGAACATTTTCATCCCTCTAAAAGAAACCCTTACGCATTTAGCAGTCACTCCCTATTCCCCCATGTCCCTGGCAACCACTAACCTACTTTTGGTTTCTATGGGTTTGCCTATTTGGGGGCCTTTCTTACGAATGGAATCATACAATATGCAGTCTTTTGTGATTGGTTTCTTTCACTGAGCATAATATTTTCAAGCTTCATCCATGTATCCCTTTTATTGCCAAATAATATTCCATTGTATGGATATACCCCATTTTTTATCCTTTTATCAGTTGATGGACGTTGTTTCCACTTTTTGGCTATTATGAATAATAGCTGCTGGGAACATTCATGTGCAAGTTTTTGTGTGGACATGTCTTCATTTTTCTTGAGTATATAACTAGAGTGGAATTGCTGAGTCACAGAGCTGATACTCTTAACCATTACACGTTTCAACTAGTCTTAGTCTGTGCTATTATTAAAGAATTATATTACCAATAATACCAATAATTGCTGCCATCTATTGAGCGTCTGTGTTGCAAAGCCCTTGACTTTTATTATCACGAATCCTCCCCACAACCCTTTAAAACAGGAATCATTATCCCTGTTATACAGATAAGAGAAACCCGGGGTCACATAGGTAAGGCGACTTGTCTAAGCTCAAATAGCCAATATGGGGTGGAGCTGGAACTACAACCCAGATCTGCCTGTTTTCTGTGCCCTCTGTGCTTGATATCATATCCTGGGCCATATCCTCTTCTAAGCTTTCGAAACATGCCCTCTCCCCTCCTTTTTCTGGAAGTCAAGCTGACTTGAAATCCCAGGGGTGAGGGCTGCAAACTTACTCCCCTGCTCTTTTCCCCAAATGGGGCTGAAGGCCAGGGGAGGGGCTTTATTGGGAGCTGTAAATAAAATGGAGGGAGGGCTGGGCTGAGCAGGGCAGTATTGCAAGAAGGCTGTGAGGGGGAGGTAAGGATTTTTTTTTGGCTCCTGGAGAGCAGGCGAGGAGGGAGTTGGAGTTTTGCTGGGGATAGGGAGTGAGGCCAGAGCATAGTGGGCTTGGGTAGTGGTAAGGGGGCTTTCTGGCCTTTGTGGGGGCTGGCCTGGGGAGGCCCCCAAGTTGTTAGAAGGAGAAAGTGATTTTACCTGACTGGAGGGGGCTTTCACTCCACGACCACCTCTTGAGTCCTTTGTTTTGTGCCAGGCCCTCCCTGTGCTGGGGACTGGAAACAGGGAGAATACTTCAGGGCTGGCTACCGGGGATTGGGGGGCTAGACCAGAAACAGACCCTGAGGTGCACTTGGCTAGGAAGGGCAGAATGAAAGGATAATTCTGTTGAGGCATCCACCTTTTCAAAGAGGGAGCAATGAGACTGAGGCTTCAAGGTTGTGAAGGGTTAGCCCCGAGCCAAAGGAAGGTATTGAAGGCTGAAGGAACTACCTGAGCAAAGTCCTGGAGCAATGAGGAGCTAGAGCACAGAAGTTTAGGAGAAAAAATGGTGGCAGGTGAGACCAGGTCTATCAGCCTAGACCTATGCTGTACAATACGGTCACCACAAGCCACAAGCACAGTGGCTGTTTAAATTGCAAAAAATTAGAAATTCAGTTTCTCAGTCATTCTAGCCACATTTCAAGTGCTCAATGGCCACATGGGGCTAGGAGCTATGGCATTGGAGAGGACAGACATAGAACATTTCCATCATCACAGAAAATTCTCTTGACCAGTGGGAAGCCTCAGGAGGGGTTCATTGCTCAAGCACCCACGGGAGAGAACAGGCTCAGGCCAGGCTGCTGATCATGGACTGCAGCTGGAGGGCTGTCCCAGCCTGGCGAGGTCTCTGGACTAGAGGTGATGGGTTGGTCTCCAGCAGTGTGAGGTGGTTTGGTGTCTTAGTTATCTAGTGCTGCTATAACAGAAATACCACAAATGGGTGGCTTTAACAAATTTATTTTCTCACAGTTTAGGAGACTATAAGTCCGAATTCAGGGTGCCGGCTCTAGAGGAAGGCTTTCTCTCTCTATCAGCTCTGGAGGAAAGCCTTTCTCTCCTCTAAGCTTCTGCTCCTGGGTAAACTTCACATGGCTTGGCATCTCTCTTCCCCCATCTCTACTTTCAAACACTTGTTTAATTTCTTTTATGTCTCAAGAGGTTGACTCAAGACACACCCTACACTAATCATGCCTCATTAACATAAACACAACTCATTCCCAAATGAGATTATAACCACAGGCATAAAAAACCAAACCACTGCTGTCCAGTCGATTCTGACTCATAAAGACACTACAGGACAGAGTAGAACCACCCCACAGGGTTTCCAAGGCTGTAAATCTTTTTTTTTTTTTAATTTATTTTTTTTTAATGTGCTTCAGGTGAAAGTTTACAAAACAAATAGTTTCTCATGAAACAGTAGTACACATATTGTTTTATGACATTGGTTAACAACCCCACAACATGTCGACCCTCTCCCTTCTCGACCGTTTTTTTTTTTGGTGAAAATATACATAGCCAAAGATACACCATTTCAAAAATTTCTACGTGCACAGTTCAGTGACATCGACTACGCTCTTCCAGTTGTACTGCTATTCTCACTTTAGATGAAGGTTTACAGAACAGAAGTTTCTCATTAAACAGTTAGTACACATATTGCCCTATGACAATGGTTAAGAACCCCACTACATGTCAACACTCTCCTTACTCAACCTTGGGTTCCCTATCACCAGCTTTCCTGTCCCCTTCTGCCTTCTAGTCCTTGCCCCTGGACTGCTGTGCCTCATTAGTCCCGTTTTGTTATATGGGGCTGTCCATTCCCCGGCTGAATGGTGAACCTCAGAAGTGACTTCACCACTGAGCTAAAAGTGTGTCTGGGGGCCATACTCTCGGGGTTTCTCCAGTCTCTTTCAGGCCAGTAAATCTGGTCTTTTTTTTGTGTGTTAGAATTTTGTTCTACATCCTTCTCCAGCTCTGTCCAGAACCCTCTGTTGTGATCCTGGTCAGAGCAGTCAGTGGTGGTAGCCAGGCACCATCTAGCTGTACTGGACTCAGTCTGGTGGAGGCCTTGGTAGCTGTGGTCCATTAGTCCTTTGGACTAATCTTTACCTTGTGTCCTGTTCTCTTCATTCTCCCTTGCTCCCGAAGAGGTGAGACCAGTGGAGTATCTTAGATGGCTGCTCACAGGCTTTTAGGACCCCAGACGCTACTCACCAAAGTAGAATGTAGCACATTGTCTTTATAAACTGTGTTATGCCAATTGAGCTAGATGTTCTCTGAAGCCATGGTCCCCACAGCCAAGGCTATAAATCTTGATGGAACATCTTTCTCTTGAGGAGCGGCTGGTGGTTTCGAACTGCCGACCTTTCGTTAGCACCCAAGCGCTCTGACCACTGCACCACCAGGGTTCCACCACAGGCATACCCAAAACCAAACTTTTACTGTTGAGTTGATTCCTACTCATAGGGACCCTATAGGACAGAGTAGAACTGCCCCACACGGTATCCAAGGAGCGGCTGGTGGATTTGAACTGCTGACCTTTTGGTTAGCCAAACTCTTAACCACTGCACCACCAGGGCTCCAAGTACCACAGGCATAGAGGTTAGGAATTACAACACATATTTTTGGGAGGACACAATTCAATCCATGTGACTAATCTCTGCCTGGGCTACCTCTTGCCAGCGTAATGTGGACTCTGCCTCCAGGGACAGGAACTAACCAGGTAGGTCCTCTTCAGCCCTGACTTGGGATTCCTGATCAGTGTGACCAGAGCCAGGGTCTGAGAAACATGGCGTGAGCAGGGCTGCAGAGGGAGGAGCAGCAGCTGAGGGGGCCTGAGCCTGAGGACAGAGGGGTGGTCTCTGGCTTGGTCACAGCTAGTGTGCATGGGGTTTGGAGTGGAGAAGTGGAGAAGGCTGGGGAAAGTGTGTGTGAGGGGGGATGGGAGACCAGGGAGGAGGCTTTCTGAATGGGAATGGGGTCACACTGTGTCAAATGATGAAAGAGAACCCTCCCACCCTCACCCTAATGAGCTGTTTCTGCCTCCTTCCCAGGTCCAAATCAGTCAAGCTGACAAGGATGGCATATGCCATGAAATCCCTCAGCTTTCTCAACCCCAAGACCCTCTCCAGGTGGGTGAGTCAAAGTGGAAGTGGAGTGGAGTTACCTATGAGCTGTAGACCAGGGCTTTTCAAAATTTAATGTCATATGGGTCACCTGGGGATCTTGTTAAAATGCAGATTCTAGGTCAGGATGTCTGGGGTGGGAGCTGAGATTCTGCAGTTCTGATAAGCTCCCAGGTGAAGCTAATGCTCCTGGTCCCTGGACCACACATTGAGTAGACAGAGGCTAGACATGATGCTTAATGTGTTCATTCCTGATGTCATTTAAACCTCACAAAAACTTCGCGAAGTGAAGGTTAGTATGCCAAATTAATAGATGAGGAAACATGTACAGAGTGGGTGCTCTCAAAACCCAAAAAATCCACGGCCGTTGAGTCAGTTCCGACTCATAGTGACCCTATAGAACAGAACTGCCCAATAGGGTTTCCAAGGCTATAAATCTTTCTCGGGGAGCAGCTGGTAGGTTCCAATCGCTGACCTTTCCGAGAGCAGCCGAGTGCTCTAACCCCTGTGCGACCAGGGCTCCTGGGTGCTCTCAATCACCTAGAGAACTGAGTGGGGTCAGGATTTGAGCTTGGGCATGCCTGGCTCCAAAATCCAGGTTCCCTCCACGCGTTTGGTTCTACATTGTCTACCTCAGAGCTCAAAAATTCCTTAAATTGACTTCAGGCTTCTTTAGTTCATCCCACTTTACAGGTTAGAAGACGGAGACCATGACAGCAAAGTGGTAATTGAGGGATGGGGGATGGGTCTTCTACACCTTGCTGCTTGTCTGGTCTGTTACCTAGGAGCAGCAGCATCACCTGGGGGCTTGCTAGAAATGCAGATTCTCAGGCCCCACCCCAGATCTACTAAACCAAAATCTGCATTTTAACAAGATCTCCAGGTGATTTATATGCCCATTAAAGTTTGAAATGTACTGATCTAGAACAGGCTTGGTGGGATGGTACGGGAGGACTATGATGAGCGCCCTCTAGAGGCCACCATGAGTCTGGCCTACTCCAAGGGCACTGGTTTTGGCTTAGAGGGGTAGGGGAATGAACTCCGCCCCGCAGTTGGGGGAGGTCTGGGAGACAGAAGTGAACTCATCCTGATGCTCCAAACTACCTCCAGATATGTGGCAGTGAGCACCTCGGTGGTAACCCAGAAGCTGCAGTTGGAGCCCAGCCCCGAGGCCCCCAGAGCCCGGCGCTACCGAGTAAGCAATTGCCGACAGGAGTGTACGGAAGGGCATCATGGCGTACAGCCTTAAGGACCTCTTCCACAAGGTGAGGGGCGGCTGCGTTGGCATAGTCAACCACTGGGGCCTGAGCTGAGGAGTTGCTGCTAGCTACCTCTATCCTCCAGGTTAGGAGTGAAGAGTTCAGCAGGGAGGTTGTTGATGGCTTAGATGATGAAATGGTTTCCACTTTGGTGCCAGCTCCAATAGATTGGTAGCAACTGCCTGGAGGAGAGCTGTGCAATCAGTGATGTCTGTCTGGTGACAGGAGGAGAGCAGTATTTTGCCATTCCACATTAACAGTTCATCAGTGGTATTCTCAGAACATATTCTTCTTGCTCTTACATTCCCTTTTCCAGTAGTTCTTAAACTTGTAGAAGTGCCTGGAAGTTGGGGAACTGAGCAGGATTTTAGAAATTCTCTTCCCCATTGTCTACCTTCAACCAGGGCAAAACAAAAACAAACCAACAAACAAAAAACAGTTGCCGTGAGTTAACTCTAACTCGTGGCAACCCCATGTGTGTCAGAACTGTGCTCCATAGGGTTTTCAATGGCTGATTTTTCCAGAAGTAGATCACCATGCCTTTCTTCTGAGGCACCTCTGAGTGAATTCAAACCTCCACACTTTCAGTTAGCGGCAGAGTGCATTAACGGTTTGCACCACCCAGGGACTCCTTAAATCTTTCTTCCACATTGGACTTCTATGTAAGACTTTGTTAATAACTGGACGACTTTCTTGAAACGATGGATCAGGCAAATTTCCAGAGGTAGAAAACAAGGTCACACAGCTTTTGTGGATGATTCTCAACAACTGGTGAGAATTCCAGGCTTCTTCACCTCCATCCTCCATCTCCACTCAGTTGGGGGTGACTTCTCCCTCTAACCCTTCCACAGCCTCATCTACTCTTGCTTTGTATTATGTCAATACAAGTGTTATGTCAATACCATGTATGTCACTGCCCCATTAGTTTATCAGTTCCATGGGGCAGAAACCCTCTCACCTGTATGCCTAAGTGCCTGGCACAGATCAAGCATTTGGATTAGACTTCCAGTTACTAGTCTGTTTAATGCATAGAAATAATAGCTGACCTAACCTCATATTCTAGGCTTCCTCCCCCATTTCTCTGTATTAGGTCTGTTCATCCTGGGAGCCAATTTCCCATCCTTTTTGAGGCTTCTGAGTATGCCAGATTATATTTCTTATTCCTTGAATCAAAAGGGCTCTTTCACACTTTAGTTTGAACTCAGTATTGTTTTCCAACTTGAGGCCTGGGGATGAACCTTGAAAACATTATGCTAGGTGGAAGAAGCCAGACACAAAAGGCCACATACTGTATGATTCCGTTTACATGAAATGTCCAGCATAAGCAATCTATAGAGAAAAAAGTAAATCAGGGGTTGCCAAGGGCTAGAGGAAGAAGGGAATGGGAGTAGCTGTTAATAGACATGAGATTTCTTTTCGGGGTGATAAAATATTCTGGAATTAGACAGTGGTGATCGATACACAACCTTGTGAATATATTAAAAACCATTGAGTTGTACACTTTAAAAGAGTAAATTTTATGGTATGTGAATTATCTATCAATTAAAAATTATATATGTGGCCCCTATTATACTTTTATTGGACAATGCTGTTAGCCATGAAGCCAAGTACCAAGAGGTGCCATGACAAAGTCTTTGGGTAGTGATCCCATGGCAGAGAGCCTGGGTTTCAGTTCCATCCAATAGAGCCTGGCCCCCTGTCTTTCTCTGCTAGGTCACCCTTTGCCTGACAGCTGAGGTGATGTGGGTCTCTCCCCCACCCCAGCTCTGTGGCTCTATGGGGATGGCAGAAGCAGCACTGAACTTATTCCCTAGGTCCAGGACACCCTGATGCTGGCAGACAAGCCCTTCTCCCTGGTGCTGGAGGAAGACGGCACGATTGTAGACAGAAGAGTATTTCCAAGCCCTGGCAGAGAACACAGTGTTCATGGCGCTCCAGAAGGGGCAGAAATGGCAGTCCCCATCAGAGCAGGTGAGGGCCTATCTGTAGGGGGATAAGTTGGGCACCTGGGAAAAAACCTTGGGGGGAGGCAACCACATTCTTGTCTTGATGCAGGGGGCTAGGTACCAACTCTCCCTCTCCCAAAAGCCTGCCAAGAAGATAGATGTGGCCTGTGTGACCTTCGACTTGTACAAAATGAACCCGCAGGATTTCATTGGCTGCTTGAATGTGAAGGCAACTCTCTATGGCACATACTCCCTTTCCTACAATCTGCACTGCGGTGGGGCCAAGCACATCATGAAGTGAGTGAATTGGGGTTAGCTAGAGGCAAGATGGCTATTCAGCAATGGGAGAGCCCCTGTCTGCTCACAACCATCTCTGCCTTCTCAGGGACTGGGGCCAACTTAGGTGCTGAAAAAGCGTAACAGTTAGCATTTGTCTAAAATTTTAATGGCTTACCTAAGCGCTTTGGATTACACTACTGTATGCCGAAGGGGTACACATACTTCTCCTGTTGGAACCTGGTTATATTTAGTTAGTTTTTACAAATGTTAAAATGAATTTTTATTTCTTAAACCTATTAAAAAAAAAAAAACTTGTTGCCAACGAGTCGATTCCAACTCATAATGACCCTATAACCAAAACCACATCCATCGCCTTTGAGTCAATTCTGACCCATAGTTACCCTATAGTACAGAGTAGAACTACCCCATAGGATTTCCGAGGAGCAGCTGGTGGATCCAAACAACCAAGCTCTTAACCACTGTGCCACAAGGGCTCCAGTGACCCTGTAAAAATCCATTGCTATGGAGTCGGTTCTGACTCATAGTGACCCTATAGGACAGAGTAGAACTGCCCCATAGAGTTTCCAAGGAGTGTCTGGTGGGTTCAAACTGCCAACTTTTTGGTTAGCAGCCATAGCACTTAGCCACTATGCCACCAGGGTTTCCGGTGACCCTATACTCCTATAGTCCCCCTTAAATGTTGTTCACAGAGGTATAATGAATAATTGAGACCTGAGAATGACAGGAAACTAAGCCTAGAATTCAGACCCATCATCCTTTTTTTTTTTTTTTAAATGATAGTGGAATCACAGTGATTTTTATTTATTTTTTGATAGATTTAGTTTTTATAAATACCTTCCCCTATAGCTAGCAGGAGTCCCTGGGTGGTGCAGACAGTTCACTGCTTAACTACTAATCAGAAGGTTGGTGGTTTGAACCTACCCAGAGGCCCTCGGAAGAAAGGCCTGACAATCTGCTTTCTAAAGGTCACAGCTTTGAAAACCCTATGGAGCGCAGTTCCACTCTGCAACACATGGGGTTCCCATGAGTCAGAATCAACTCCGCAGCAACTGGTGGTGGTGCTAGTCCACTACAGCAACTAATTTCTTTTTTTTCATCTAAAATAGTAAGTTTTCCTAAATGGTCTTCTAATCAACTTTTTAAAAATGAACATGTGTCGAAGATTTATTTAACTTATTAATAAAAGAACCAGCAAGAATTTTCAGTCAGTTCAAAGGAGAACTCAAAGTCCCACATGTATGTAGGTTTATCAAGAATGCTGGAATAAATTTATAAATAAGTACAAAACTAGCTTTTTCCGAGGGAGTGGGAGGGATGAAAATAAATTTCCCCTCCGTAAGATAGAATTTATTTACATGTCTATGGAAAAGAGTCATTTGTATTCTCTAATCAACTTTTTTTTTTTTTTTAACTTTTTCTTTAAAAGGAGCCCTGGTGGGACAGTGGTTAAGAGCTTGGCTGCTAACCAAAAGGCTGGCAGTTCAAATCCACCAGCCGCTGCTTGGAAACCCTATGGGGCACTACTCCTCTATCCTATAGGGTCGCTAGGAGTTGGAATTGACTTGATGGCAATCGATTTTTTTGGTTTTGGTTTATTTAAAAAGTTGACTCAACTTTTAAGTATCACAGGAAGCATGAGGATATGTTAAATCATAAGTCAGATACTATTATGGTCATGTTTCCCAAGTTTAACTGCTCCTGGGTTGCTTTTAGAACATTCTTACCCCATTAAGTGAATGTAGCCATGGAGGCTGAGGTGATATAATTAGTCCAAAGGCACAAAGCTAGGGAACAGCAGAGCATGGTCTTCAGCCAGTTTCTGCTGACAGTTTTTACACCTCCCCAGTTGCTAGATTCGAAGTGACTTGGAAAGGCCTGGAAGTCTAGGACAGAGTGTCATGAAGGACAGGGACATGTTTTGTAGACCAATCTGACTGGTCCAAGGGAGTACTAAAAAAAAAAAGCCTTATTAAGTAGACTAGAATTTTGCATGAGAAAGTAGGAAGGTTCTGGACATCTGAATTATCTTATGATTCCATGTAATGCCTGTAGACCCTTTCCATTTCCTGAGGCCAGGCAGCATCTGTTCCTGTTCGCATATCACTCCGTAATTTATAAAACATTTTTAGTCCTACCACCTCAGTGATATTCACATTACAGTGATGATTCAAATTGCTAAAATGAAACAGATTTCTTCCAGGACAGACTGGGAATATAATGGTGGAGGCATTTAAGGAGACGCGGGAAGGGTATTCCTCATGATTTGTCCCAATGCCTTCTCTTTCCACCCAGGGAAGCTCTTCGCTGGGCCCTCTTCGGCATGCAGGCCACCGGCCACGTGCTGCTTGGCACCTCCTGTTACATGCAGCGGCTCCTGGATGCCACAGAGGAAGGGCAGAACCCCAAGGGCGAGGACTTGTCCCTCATCCCACCCTGTCTGAAGATACTGCAATGAAGGCATAAGTCCTTGGAGGCCTTCCCCCGCCAAGAACTAGACTGGGGACCCTATGCTCAGCCTCAGAGCCCACAAGCCTAGCAGCTAGCTACAGAGCTTCTTAACTCCCTACACCTTCCTCAGCCCACAGGACTATGAATGAGAAGGCAGGAGGAAGGGCTGGCAACCTGTAGTGGGCTGACCAAAGAAGAACTGTGGGTTTGGCCTGGCTCAGCTCCTTCCTGCCCAAGGTGGCTTAGCTGACCAAGAACTGGTCACCAGCAGGCTATGGCATGAAATGTGTCCCTCAGCAACCTGTGTTCATATGCTATACTTTGATCTCACTCCCTACCTCCTGGATCCCCTATCCTGAATACTCCTGTGTGGACTGTCAAGCACACTAGTATATGATATTAGAGAATGCAATAAATCATTTATGCTGATACATAGTCTTTGCCTGTGTTCTTTGAGGGTGAGGGTGAGCTTCTGTCTGGAAGGTTGCAAAGGCCTGAAGAGACGAATCTATTCTGAAACCATTTACTATAACATAGGTTTAAAAAAATATATATTGCTGTTAACTCCAATTCATGGCGACCCCATGTGTATCAGAGTAGAACTGTGCTCCATAAGGTTTTCAATGGCTAATTTTTTTTGAAAGTAGATTGCCAGGTCTTTCTCCCAAGGCATCTCTGGGTGGACTCAAACCTCTAACCTTTCAGTTAGCAGGCAAGTGTGTTAACTGTGTTTGTACCACTCAAGGACTCCAACACGGATTATAGGATTACGGGAAACTGACAGTACTTTCTACCGAAAAAAAAAAAAAAAAATTGCAGTTGATTTTGGAACTAAAGTCTGTTTAATCTGAGATTTGAGCAGATCACATAACCAATATAATAAGTGACAATTTGCAAGTTAAATTGCCTATCAGGAGGGTTTAGACAGGGAAAGTGGGATTAAGACACTCTTCTAATTAAGTGTTTTAAGTGGGAATACACTAATCAAGCTGTAACACAACTCTCCATCAATGCCTGCCTTAGTTTGCCAGTCAATTTACCTTTTGCATTTCGAGCTTTCAATCTCAGGGTTTCAAAGCAAGCTGTTAGGGAGCCACAAAGAGTATTAGTTTCTCATCAGTGTGAGCTGGCGTTTCTCCAGATTGGGCAACTCAAGACAAACATGGAAAGCTGGGCCTGTAAGTCACTGCTTTAGTCTGTGACTTTCAGACTCAAAAACTGTCATTTTATGACCGTTGCTGTAAAGCTAAGGAGCCCTGGTGGTGCAGTGGTTAAGCACTCAGCTGCTAACTGAAAGGTCAGTGGTTTGAACCCACCAGATGCTCCACAGGAGAAAGATGTGGCAGTCTGCTTCCATAAAGATTACAGCCTTGGAAACTCTATGGGGCAGTTCTACTCTGTCCTATAGGGTTGTTGCGAGTCAGAATCCACTCAGTGACAATGGATTTGATTTTAGTTTCTACCATAAAGCTTATTTAGGTTTATTAAATACTAAGACAAACGCCGGAGTCCTGGTGGCATAGTGGCTAACAGCTCGGCTGCTAACCAGAAGATTGGCAGTTCTACTCTGTCCTATAGCGTTGCTATGAGTCGGAACTGACGGCACTTAATTACAAGACAAAGGTCTGGGTTATCAAAGCTAGAGTCTGGAGAGTTAGTGCAGGCAGCAGACCCAGAATCATGCAGCTCTGTGTGGGAGGAGCTGCCAAAGCTAGTGGACAAGCACTTGCTATTCTGGGCTCTCCTGCTCTTGCAGTTTTGGCTGGAGGCCTGGCTCAGGGCCAGGCTGGCTCCATGGGCTTGCCTTCTGGCATGGAGGCCCAATGTTTCCCCCAGCACAGAAGGTATTCCCATCAACCCTTGCTGATGACCTACCCCTCATGTGAAGTTATTGATAAATGATTTAGGTTGAGGTGGGTGGAAGCTTGCTATTTGTCCCAAGCTTCCCTCCTATGAAGAAGAATGCAGCATCAGGATTGGAGGAAGACTCATTAACAACCTGCTACATGCAGATGACACAACCTTGCTTGCTAAAAGTGAAGAGCACTTGAAACACTGATGAAGATCAAAGACCACAGCCTTCAGTATGGATTACACCTCAACATAAAGAAAACAAAAATCCTCACAACTGGGCCAGTCAGCAACATCATGATAAATGGAGAAAAGATTGAAATTGTTAAGGATTTCATTTTACTTGGATCCACAATCAATGCCCATGGAAGCAGCAATCGAGAAATCAAACGACATATTGCATTGGGCAAATCTGCTGCAAAAGAACTCTTTAAAGTGTAAAAAAGCAAAGATGTCACTTTGAGGATTAAGGTGTGCCTGATCCAAGCCATGGTATTTTCAATCACCTCATAGGCATGCGAAAGCCGAACAATGAATAAGGAAAACCAAAGAATTGATACCTTTGAATTATGGTGTTGGTGAAGAGTATTGAATATACCATGGACTGCCAGAAGAACGAACAAGTCTGTCTTGGACAAAATACAGCCAGGGTGCTCCTTGGAAGTGAGATGGCAAGACATCGTCTTACATGCTTTGGACATGTTATCAAGAGGGACGAGTCCCTGGAGAAGGATAACATGCTTGGTAAGATAAAGGGTCAGCGAAAAAGAGGAAGACCCTTGAGGAGATGGATTAACACAGTGGCTGCAACAACAGACTCAAACATAGCAATGACCGTGAGGATGGCACAGGACCAGGCAATGTTTTGTTCTGTTGTACATAGGGTCGCTATGAGTTGGAACTGACTCGATGGCACTTAACAACAATCATAGGACAGAACTCATGATGTACTTTGCTTTTTTTCACTTATCTTCTTATTTCTCTGTTGCTCCCTCCACTTACCCCTTTCTCCTCCCCTTCCCACACCTTTTCCTCCTGGTGGATTTTTATTAGTTCTTCACAACTCATCTCAGATGGCCCCTTTGCTTGGAAACTTTCTCTGATCTGTGATTTCACCTCTGCCCATCATGGCAGTTCTCTTAGCATCTCCACGCATTTAGCAAAGTGAGTTGTAATGCTATGACGCCAATCTTCTGTCAACTCGATGAACTTCTGCAGGCAGGGCCTGAGTCTTGTAGATCTGTGTTTCCAGCACAGAGATGCGAGGGTTTTGCAACCGGCATAGAGTTTGTTATTGTTGTTAGGTACCTGTCATGGATTGAATTGTGTCCCCCAAAAATATCTGTCAACTTGGCTAGGTCATGACTCCCAGTATTGTATGATTGTCTACCATTTTGTCATCTGATGTGATTTCCCTATGTGTTGTATATCCTAGCACTATGATGTAATGAGATGGATTAGTGGCAGTTATATTGATGTGATCTACAAGATTAGATAGTGTCAAGCCAATCTCTTTTGAGATATAAAAGAGAGAAGTGAGCAGAGAGACATGGGGACCTCATACCACCAAGAAAGCAGTGCCGGGAGCACAGCGTGTCCTTTGGACTTGAGGTTCCTGTGCTGAGATGCTACCAGACCAAGGGAAGACTGATGTATCACAAGGACCTTCCTCCAGAGCTGACAGAGAGAGAAAGTCTTCCTCTGGAATCAGCGCCCTGAATTTGGACTTCTAGCCTTTTGGAATGTGGAGAATAAACTTCCATTTGTTGAAGCCATCCACTTGTGGTATTTCTGTTATAGCAGCACTAGATGACCAACACAGTACCCTACAATTGATTTCCACAAATAGCAGCCTAATGTGACAGAGTGGTACTGCCCCATAGGGTTTTCTCCTAATCTTTATGAAGCGGTTGCCAGGTCTTTCTCCTTCAGAGTTGCTGGGGTGGATTCCACAGCGTAGGTTTGAACCGCCAACCTTTCAGTTAGCAGCCCAGTGCTTAACCATTGCACCACCAGGCTGCTGGCATAGAGTTAGCATTAAAAAGATATTGAATGAGTTATGTATCAAATTTATTTCTCCTATAGGGTCGCTAAGGAGCCTTGGTGGTGGGTGAAGTGGTAAAGAGCACCGCTGCTAATCAAAAGGTCGGCAATTCGAATCCACCAGCCGCTTCTTGGAAACTCTATGGGGCAGTTATACTCTGTCCTATAGGGTTGCAATGACTCGGTATCAACTCCACGGCAATGTTTTCTTAGGGGGATTTACAGATTCCACCAAAAGACAATTTACGTTTCCTAGTTTTGAAATTTGTTTTGTTTTCTTTGACAAGTAATCTCTTTCTGCCTTTGGCCTTTTTTCCCTTTGGATTATGGAACGGGCTGTGTTCTAGGAGCAGGTTTACTGAACCAAAGGATGTGGACTTTTTTTTTTTTTTTGTGGCCAATTTGCCTTACGAATTTGTGCGCAGTGGTGTTTTTCTGAGGTCAAAAGGATCCTAAAAATTGGAACGTGATCAGAAAACCTTGATCTTTCGTCCCAGTTTGGATCCCACCCTGTGCCTCAGTTTCCCCAAAACCACAAAGCGCAAACGTAGACATTTCTTTCTAGACCGGAGACAGAGCTCCGACTTCTCACGGTTCCGAGCGCGGCCTCCTCGCTATTCCGATTGACAGTAAAGCTGACCAATCAGTGCGCTGCGGGTGTATGGCGGCTGTCCTTTTGAACACACATGCGCACTGACTTCACACCGGAGATGGTTGGCTGCTGTATTTGGGGTCATATCTGGTCTTCCTGGCGACGGGGCCCAGGGGCCCGCGCAGCGCTTAAGGCTGCAGGCTTTGGCACCTGGACCCGGTGATTACGCCCTTCCCTTGTGTCGGAGAGAGGCAGGGTGCGGGTGTGTGCAGGATCTGGAGTTAAGTAGATATGGGCTCTAATGCCGGCTCTGCTCTGTGCCCCTAAACAAATCACTCGGCCTGTCTGAGCCTCAGTTCCCTCCTCTATTAAATGGGGCCAGTTGAACCTGACTTTTCGGGAAGCTCAGCCCAGGCATTCTGAAGAGGCGGCAGGGTTTGGAGGGTGTGTGGAGATAGGAATGCGGCAGCAGGAAACACCCCCTGTTGCTTCTCCCGTCCTTTCCAGGCATCAGCTGCAACCTCGAGGCTCTAGTAAAAGGTCAGGACCCCCAAGGGACCAGCCATTTCCCGGGCTGCTGCGGCTGGAGGACCTCAGTCGCGAGGAGCTGGTTGATGTGTTGAGAGCAGCCGTGGTGGATCAGAAAGGTGAGGCGTGATAGGTACAGCTGCACAGAGACCCGCGAGGGGGAGCCTGCTGCTCCGAGCCTTCTAGGAGGCTGGCTGGGTTCAAGAAGCCCCGCGTTCAAATCCGGCTTTTGTCTTCTACTCGCAGAATGAGCTAGGGCAAGAAACATAACCTCTCCGAACCTCATCATCTTGGGATGGGGGTGTGTGTGTTGCGGGGGGGTGCAAATAACTAGAGAGTCTTGCACAAAGTAGGAGTCAGTTATGGAAATTTCTTTAGTAATAAATTATTGTTTATTGATAGAAAAAACACCGGCTTTGGAGTCAGACGTATCTAAGCTCTGTACCAGCTTCCTATGTGGCTTTAGGAAAATCACTTAATTTCTCTGAGCCTCAGTTTCTCCATTCAGTGATTTATTCATTTTCTTAACTACTATTTATTGAGCACCTGCTATGTTCTGGGCACTGGCTATACAGTGCTGAACAAGTAAATATGGTTCCTGCCCTCAGAGAGCCAACATTCTGCAGGAGAAATAGGTTAACCAGAAAATAAATGACCAAGTTACTTAATGGTGCTATGAATAAACTAAAACGGTGTTGTGATGGTGAGGGGCTCGGAAGAGAGGGGCAAACATTAGACTGGGGCTTCAGGCCTCTCTGTGGTGGTGACATCTGAGCCAAGATGATATATGTGGGAGCCAGACATGTAAAAATATGGGGCAGAAGAAATGGCAAGTGCAAAGGCCCTGAGGTGGCCACAAATTTGGCATATTTGAGGGACAAAGAAGTTCAGTTTAGGATGGGGTTGATAACTGTTGGCTGAGAGTTGTTGTTGAGCTCACATGCTACCATAAATGAGAAAGTGCTTTGTAAACTAAGTGTTGCACAAAGGTTAACTATTGCTTTTGCCAATGTTCATGCAATATTATGTGTTTCAGGACCTCTAGTGACGGTCAATAAGCCACAGGGACTGCCAGTAACAGGTAGGGACAGAGGGCAGGGGAAAGGAATGCTGTGAAGGGGGGAAGGGTGTGACATCTGGGGGGAGTGAAGAGAAGGGGATGGTGGGATAAAGCTTTGGCCTCTGGGAGCAACTTGTACTTCTTCTTCTTTCCCAGGGAAACCAGGAGACCTGACACTGCTCTCAGTGCTGCCAGAGCTCAGCCAGTCACTGGGGCTCGGGGAGCGGGAGCTCCAGGTTGTCCGAGCACCCGGGAAGTAAGTGGCAGGGGGTAATGAGAAGGTAGGAGGACAGAAGACCCTAAAAAAAAAGAAAAAAAGGTAGGACAGGGAGCCACCTACGGTGAGAAGAAAGATGCTTGGGAATAAGCAAAGACAGTTTCCACAGAAAGGTTGGGGATCACAGAGGTAGGATCTGAGGTCTATGAAAAGGAGAAGGAAGCCAACAGATCTTGGGTTCAAATCCCGACTATTCCATGTACAAGCAGTGTGAACCTAGGCAAAGAACAAAACATCTCTGAGCCTCATCTCAGTTCCCTTAACTGTAAAATAGAGATAATAATACCTACTTCGTACTCAATGTACAGGCATTTTCCCAATTCCATACCCATGGAATCAATTCCATAGCCATGGTTCAATCCATGAAACTCCTCCAACTGCCATCAACTAGAGAGGATACTTGAGATGAAATCTTTCTGCAAGTCCACAAACTCAGAAAGTTTGTGAAGAATTTGATTATTTAAGAACTAATATATAGACCCAGCAATCCCAGTGCTTGGTGTATACCCAAAAGAAGTGAAGGCAGGAATGCAAACAGAAACCTGTATACCAATGTGCATTGCAGCAGTTTTCACAACAGCCAAAATTGGAAACAACCAAAATGTCCATCAACAGATAAATCAATCAACAAAATGTGATATATACACACAATGGAATACTATGCAGCTGTAAAGAGAAATGAAGTCCTGATGCAGGCCCCAACGAATGAACCTTGAAAACATTATGCTGAGCGAAATAAGTTGCAAAAGGACAAATACTGTATGATCCCACTTATATGAAATAAGCAAATATATAGAAATCAAAGATTAATGGTTAGCAGGAGTGAGAAGAAGGGTGGAAGGGGGAGTTTTTGTTTGGGGGACACTGGGTTTATGTTAGTGGTGGCAGAATATTTTAGAAAAGGATAGCGATAATGTTGGCAAAACCTAAAAAATGTAATCAATGTCATTGAATTGTACATATGGAAGTTGCTCTATTGGCAAATGTTGTAGTGTGTCTATTTTCATCACAATTAAAAAAAAAAAAAAGCCAACATGTATACAATTCCTAGTACAGTATCTGGCATGTGGTAGACATTCAACTGTTGCTGTTGGGTGCTGTCTACGCCAACTCATAGTAACCTCATGTGACAGAGTAGAACTGTCACATAGGGTTTTCTAGGCTGTAATCTTTACGGAAGCAGATCACCAGGTCTTTCTCCCACAGAGCTGCTGGGTGGGTTTGAACCACCAACCTTTCATTTAGCAGCTGAGTGCTTAACCATTGTACCACCTCCTTAGATACTCAACCAATGCTGGTATTTTTATGACATCTGGCTGAGTTCCCTGGGGGCCAGGGCAAAATGAAAAAAAAACATTAAGGTACATAGTCTTGTTATCAAACAAGGGGAAGCCTTACCTGTTCCGCAGGAGGATGTCTGGGTTATTGTAGTTCTGGTGTTACTGTTGGGCCTTGGGCAGGTCAGTGCCCCTTCCTAGAAGTCTGCTTTTTTGTAGGTGAACCCCTCAGAGACTTTAACTTGTGTGATTTGTCCCCTTCCTCTAGGGATTGCTCTGGGCTTGTACTCCTTTCCAGTTGTCCCCAGACTGTAAGCCGCATCCAGAAGTTCTTCACTCACTCACGGAGAGTCCAAAGGCCCACAGCCACCTACTGGTGAGAAGGGCTGGGAGGCTCCCAGGGCAATAGGGAGGTCCCAGCAGGCCACTCTGTGACCTCCTCCTGCTTCTTTCTCCCTGCAGTGCCATCACTGATGGGATCCCAGCTACTTCTGAGGGGAAGATCCAAGCAGCCCTGAAACTGGAACACATTGATGGGGTCGATCTCGTGAGTCAGGTTCTGGTTGAGGAAGAGAGGGCTCCGTCCAGACAGTGTCCCTGACAGAGGAGTCAGGGGTATAGACTTGGGGTGGCTGACTCTCCTGTCACCTAAAACAGGCATGTGACCACTGCCTACACTGTGGCCCTGTCCTGAGTCTGCTCAGGGAGGGTCTGGGTATAGCTCCCAGGCATGTGTGAAACTTGTTTATTTTGGGGGGCTGGCACTGCAGGTAGTTCCTGTGAAGCCCCCATCCCGAAAGGACATCCTGGAAGGTGTCAAGAGGACTGTCAGCCACTTTCGTGTGATGGCCACAGGCTCTGGCTGTGCCCTGGTCCAGCTGCAGCCGCTAACAGGTGGGTATGGTGCTTCAGCCAGCCGTTGGAACTGTATTTGACTTGGGGAGGTAAGGAGGTGAGAGGAAAGTGGTGGTATTCAGTGGCAGCCTGGGGAGCATTTGATGGACCCCAAGAGTATATGTGACCAGACCCAACTGCAGGAGGTAGCACTTGTGATGTTAGTCTAATCATCATTAATCTTTTTTTTTTTTCTCTTACTTATTGTTCCTTGGATCTTCTCTTTGTCTGTGGTATTCTGCGGTTTCACTGTGATGAATCTAGGTGTATGGATTTGGTTTTATTTATCCTGATTGGGATTCACTGTACTTTCTGAATCTGAGGATTATTATATTTCATCAATCCTGGAAAATTCTATTTATTTTTTTATTTTATTTTAATTTTTTTATGTTTTTTTTTTTTGTTGATTGTTGTTTAAGTGAAAGTTTACATTTCAAGTTAGTATCTCATACAAAAATTTATATATACATTGTTATTGACCCTAATTGCTCTCCCTGTACTGTGACAGCACACTCCTCCTTTCCACCCCTAATTTCCCGTGTCTATTCAACCAGCTCCTGACCCTCTCTGCCTTCTCATCTCACCTCCGGACAGAAGCTTCCCATTTAGTCTCATGTATCTACTTGAGCTAAGAAGCACACTCTTCATGAGTATCATTTTATGTCCCACAGTCCAGTCCAATCTTTGTCTGAAGGGTTGGCCTCAGGAATTGTTTTAGTTCTGAGATGACAGAGAGTCCGGGGGCCGTGCTTTCCGGGGTTTCTTCAGTCTTAGTCAGACCATTAAGTCTGGTCTTTTTACTAGAATTTGAGTTCTGCACCCCACCTTTCTCCTGCTCCACCAGGGACTTTGTGTTATGTTCCCTGTCAGGGCGGTCATTGGTGGTAGCCGGGTACCATCTAGTTCCTCTGGTCTCAAGATGATGCAGTCTCTGGTTTATGTGGCCCTTTCTGTCTCTTGGGCTAATATTTTCCTTGTGTCTTTGGTGTTCTTCATTCTCCTTTACTCCAGGTGGTTGGGACCAACTGATGCATCTTAGATGGCTGCTTGCTAGCTTTTAAGACCCCAGATGCCACTCACCAAAGTAGGATGCAGAACATCTTAATAAACTTTGTTATGCCAATTGACCTACATGTCCCCTAAAAGCATGGTCCCCAGACCCCCACCCCTGCTACTGTGTCCCTCGAAGTGTTTAATTGTATTCAGGAAACTTATCTTTGATTTAATCCAGTTGTGCTGACTCCCCCTGTAGTGTGTGCTGTCCTTCCCTTCACCTAAGATTCTTTCTCTCTTTAAATGTTGCACCCCTGCATTCTCAGTTCTCTTCCCTTTGAATTCCTAATGGAAACATCTGACCTTTTCATTTTACTCACTATGCGTCCCTTAACCTTTCATGTTTCCCATTTATCTCTGCTGCACTCTGGGTGATTTCATTAGATGTATCTTCTGGTTGAATAATTTTCTCTTCAGTTGGGTCTAATCTGCCAGTTTAACCTGTCCATCGACTGTATTTTTCATTTCTAGAAGTTCTATGTTGTTCTTTTCCAAATGCAAATGATATTTTAAGAAATACAGCATTTTCTCATATCGTTTGTTCTTTTATATCGTCAATAATTTTATACATACTTATTTTATATCCTATTTCTGATCATTTCATTGTCTGAGATCCTACAGGGTCTAATCTTACTGTATTTCCTGTTGACTCTCACACTTGGTGGGTTGTTTTTTCATTGTGCTGTGATTCAGGACTGTGAATTCGTGTTCAGCTGGGCGCTTATCTGTGGAAATCATTTGTTACCTGGACTAGAGGTGGGGCCTTCTCAAGAGATTCTGCCTTGGCTTATGCAGGAAGCCACAGGGATATCACTACTCCAGAGCCTCTCTAAATATTGATCAGTGTCTTAGTTCATAGTTCACAGATCATTCAAGTAGGGTAAACTTTAGCTGCAAACCTATGTGAGAACAGGCTTGTGGTTGTGAATTCTCAGAGGGAAACTTTATTACTCCCATCCAGACCTAAGGTGATCATCTACCTTCATTGGTGGCTGACTCTTTCTCCTGGTCCACCCTTTCACTGAAAATATAGTCCCTCTGTGATTTCATCTGGGCACAAAGGCCTCACCTCTGGCCTCAGTTAGCTATTAAAACCCAAGCCCCGACATTGGCAACACTCCTAGGAGAGGTGAAGTGTTGGCTGTCTTTGTGCTCTGGGTTTGTTTTCCTTTTTGTGTTTTGGTCTCGGGGACCTTACTTTCCTGGGTACTCAGCTGTGTATTTAAAAGGATGATTGTCATATTTTCTCCAGTGTTTCTAGGTGGTTTGTAGCAAAGAGGGTTTTTAGATTATCCAGTCACCATATTGCCAGAAATGGAAGCAGAGTACAGGTCCTGGGTTTCAATCCCAGGTGGTGGGCAAGACACTTTGAGCATTAGTTTTTCTCTCTGTAAGATGGGAATGATGGTAGGACCTGCCTTATAGGGTTGTCATGAGGATTAAATAAGTTAACATATATGAAGCATTTAGTACTATGCCTACCACATAACGCCCCATTTCTGTATTTTTCAAGGTAATCGTGGTTGCAAATTTCCCCAAAAGCATATCATATTGGTGTAGGCCAATAAAGGGAATTTATCAGCACACATAATTAAAAGTTCAGGCATGGCTGGATCCAGAGGCTCAAAGGATGTTATTGGGAAGCAATTGCTCCATTTCTTGGTTCTTGCTTTCTGCCCGTTGGCTTCATTGTCCCCCAGACTCACCCCTGGTGAAAGCATACACGGCCCACAGCAGTTCTGGCGTACATCGCCCCAGTTTAGCCACCCCAGCAAGAAGTAGAGTTCCTTAGTCCCAGTAACTTCAACGGTAATTTCAGGATTGCATCTCGTCATGAACCAATGGCACGGGCCAGGTGGATTGATTGCTGTGACTGTCCTGACCTGGCCACGCTCCCTTCTCTGGAGGCAGAGGTGGTAGCATCAACTTCACTGAAACCATACGATCTGAGAATGGGGAGGGTTCCCCAAAGGAAAGGGGGAGGGACAATAGTGGGTGGGACAGAAAACAACTGCCTACCAGCTGTACTGTCTCTCCTCTCACCCAGTGTTCCCCAGTCAGCTACAGGTGCACATGATACTGCAGCTCTGCCCTGTGCTCGGGGACCACACGTACTCTGCCCGTGTCAGCACCGTCCTGGGCCAGCGCTTCCTACTGCCAGCTGAGAGAACCAAGCCCCAGAAACAGGTACTCAAGCCCACCTGCTTGCTGCCTTCTAGGGGGGTGGGGGCAGTGGGCAACATCTCCAAACATTAGCTATGCAGCCTTGGACTGGGCAGCAGCCCTCTTGGCTTCCAAGGCTGTCTGTAGGCCCTATCTTGCTGTGTGGCCCTGGACAAGTGACCCCCCCCTCCCCTGGGCCTCATTCTTCCTATCAGTTCAGTAAGGAAATTGAACTGGCTGATTTCTAAAGGCCCTTCTAAGGCTGCCATTCTTTGAGTCTATTCAGTACAAGGAGCAAAAGAGGTGGTGTGTGTGTGTATGTGTTTCTGTGTGTGTATTAAGGTAACTCTATCTGCTGTTAACAGAGTAACCCCAAAGTACCAGAGTCATAACACAATAACCTCCCCCTCATGTTAAGTCTAATTAGTAGGGTGTGGGTTGGGGACTTTGCTCCAAGCAGTCACTCAGGGATCCAGGCTGTTGATATCAGACAGGAGCTGAGGTGAGACAGTATGGGTTCATGTAGGAGGTTTTTTACATACTTCCACTCACATTCCATTGGCTAGAACTCAATCACATGGCCTCACCAAAGTGCAAGAGGCTGGGAAATGTAGTTTAGCTCTATGCTCAAGAGGAAACTGATTTGGTGAACCCCTAGCTACTTTCTGCTACAGTGTGAGTGTGCAGATGTGCACGCACGCACACAAAGAGGAAATGAATACAACTCCACACCAGGGAAGCAGAACTTGCCTCACTCGTTTCATTTAGAGCTGAGTACTCAGCTTGTTGGTACATACGTGGCTGTATGCTGACACACCTCTCCCACCCCCAGGTCCTGGATGAAGCCCTCATCAGATGCCTCCGCCTGACCCCCTCCCAGGCTGCCCAGCTGCCCTTGCACCTCCACCTGCATTGTCTTCTCCTCCCAGGCCCCAGACCCCAGGATACCCCCATTGAACTTCTGGCACCCCTGCCCCCTTATTTCTCCAGGACCCTACAGTGCCTGGGGCTCCACCAACGATAGTCATCCCTCTGTCCCTGATGCCCACTGGAAGAGAAGCGGGGACCTGTAGCCAGGCCCATGGAAAATGAGATCAGTGCTTAGAATGCAGTAATGCCATGGTTTATGATGCTAGGCTCTGTAGGCAGACAGACCTGGCTAGGCCACTTGCTGTGTGATGTTGTGTAAGTGACTTCACCTCTCTGGACTTGAGATAATAAAAGTATCTACCTCATGATATTGTCTTGAGGATTTGCTGAGAAAGTAAATGCTTGTCATGGACCATGATTTCTGCTGAGTTGAATACTGGTTAGCTTTTCTACTTTAAAAAATTGTGAAATGTATCAAATATACAGAGAGTGCATAAAACACATCTCTGTATTTTAAAGAATAATTTTAAAATGATACCCATATAGCCATCACTTGGGCCAAGAAATAGAAGCATCCCTCTCCTTCCTTGTAAAGCCTTTCCCATCCCTGGCCCCACACTGGAAATAATGTGCTGTGCTGCTAACCAAGGTTGGTGGTTCGAGTCTATCCAGAGGCCCCTTGGAAGAAAGGCCTGGAGATCTACTTCTAAGAAATCAGCCACTGGAAACCCTACTCTGACACACCTGGGGTCGGAATTGACTCCATGGCAACTTTGTTTTTGTTTTTTTTTAATCCCCCTAAGGAAGCTTAAGATCCCCATGCCGCTCATGATTCTGTACCCCAGAGGTTCGGGTTTAATTGGTCGAGGGTGGAGACCCTGGCATCGGTCTTTGTTAAAATCTCCCCACAGGGTTGTTTTTCAGTCTAGGTTGAACACCACTGATCTGACTGGGAGTAATTATTTCCTTGCTTTTATATGTATCCCTAAACAATATATTTCATTTTGCCTGTTTTTGAAGTTTCTATAAATGGAGTCATGCTGTATGTATTCTTTTGTGATTTGCTTTTGCTCCACATTGTGAAATGCATCCCCGTGTAGTGTGTGTAGCTTGAATTCCAGTGTTTGAGTATACCAGTTTATCTATTCTACTGTTTTTGTTTTTTTTTTTAACATTTTATTGTGGTTTGGGTGAAAGTTTACAGAGTAAATTAGTTTCCCATTTAACAATTTACACACATTTTGTTTCATGACATTAGTTGGAATCCCCTCAATGTGACAATACCCTACCTACTTCCTCGCTGGTTTCCCCGTTTTCATTTGCCCAGCCTTCCTGCCCCTTCCTGCCTTCTGAACTTTGTTTTTGAGCAAATGCTGCCCTTTGGGTCTTGTATGGTTGATTGCTCTGAAGAGCACGTTCCTCACAGGTGTTATTGTTCACTTTATAGGCCTGTCTATTGTTTGGCTGATAGGTGATCTCTGGGAGTAGGTTCTGTTCCAGGTTTGAAGGGTGTCTAAGGGCCAAAGTCTCGGGGTTCCACCAGTCTATCAGACCAGTAAGTCTGGTCTTTTTTATGAATCCCTTCTACTATTAATGGTCATTTGCTGCTGCATACCTGTCTGTATGCATTTTCTTGTTCACTTTTGCAAGAACTTCTGGATTGGAGTATGTGTATCTTCAGATTGACTCGTGTTAGTTTCCTGTGGCTACCATAACTAATAACTATAAACTTGGTAGCTTAAACCAACCAAAATTGATTCTCTCACAGTTCTGGAGGCCAGAAGTCTGAAATCAGGGTGTTGGCAGGACCACATTCCCTCCAAAGCTTCTAGGGGAGAATGCTTCCTTGCCTCTTCCGGCTTCTGGTGGTTTGTGACTGCATTACTCCAATTTCTGCCTCTGTCTTCACATGGCCTTCTCCTTTGTGTCTGTCTTACTCTCTTCTGTCTCTTAGAAGGACACTTGACATTAGATTTGGAGCCCACCTAGATAACCTAGGATGAACTTATCTCAAGATCTTTAACTTAATCACATATGCAAAGACTGTTTTTACAAACAAGGTCACATTCACAGGTTCCAGGCAGACATATCTTTTGGGGAGCCACCACTCAACCCACTACAACTAGGAAGTACCAAACTTTTTCAGATGGGTGTGGCTTGTTGGCTATTTCATTTTTAGGTGACTTTGGCCCACTGCTGAGGAAGAGACAAGCCCACTCCCCCCAGAGAAGGGGTCTCCTCTATGTGTCATGTTGTAAGTGTACTTGTGCCATTAGATTTCATGCTGTCATGAGTCCTTGCCTCCTGTTCACTGCCATGTGACCTTGGACAAGCCCCATATCTTCTCTCAGACTCAGTTTCCTCATCTGTAAAATGAGACGTATCTCCATCCCCACTCAAGGATCAGAGATACCAGGAGAGTGGCTGAACAGGAAGCTCCATGTCTCTGTCACTAGGTGAGAATTCTGGGCTTGCTCCATGAGGAGTAGCTGATGGCCTCTAGCTCTCTAGGATGATGGTGTGCTATGACCTTGGAGTGCAGGCTCCTGCCCTCCCCTGCACCACCATCCTCTTCACCCTCCAATAGAAATGGAGCCAAGCCCAGATGATTTCACTTGCTCCATTTTATTTGGCTCTGAGTCCAGGATGGAGGTGGTGGGGACCGAAGCAGGGGCTTTTCTAGCCTCGCATCCCCCATACCCTCCAACATCTGTTGTTCACCAATAAGGCGTAGGGGTCCCAGGTGGCTCAGCCCCTTCTTGAGGCATGCTTCAGCTTTGGGTTTCTTGTAGAGCCTGTCCTTGAACTCGCCTTTGGCCTTGACCTTCCTATGGGTGATAGGACATGCTCCAACTTCAAGGGACAGAGGCCACAAGGCACTTCCAGGATGGAAGCCACGAAGGCTCTGGGGAGCAACAGCCTCGGTGTGAAAGAAGGGGAGAGGGGGAAGAGACATCAGGAAATCTGTCCAGGAAGGGAGTTCCAAGGGAAACAAGCCCTTCCCTTGGGCCTCCAGCCAGCCTAGGAGCTGCTGTCTACCTCTGCCCTCCAGCCCTGCCTGACCCCAGTGCTCAGCCTTGCCTGCCAGCATGCGAGTCACAATTGGAGGCCCACCTGGCTTGGTCTCTCGCTGGCTGCCGGCCTGAGCTCAGGCTTAGGTGGGAGGACAATCAAAACCTTGGCCATGGGTAGAGTCATCAAGGCCTTGCCTGTGGTCGACAGGGCCTGAGAGCCCACCAGCTTGTGCTGCAGTCTGAGGCCCCGCCCCTGGGGTCGGAATACATGGGGAGAAGGCAGCCAGGCCTTGGTGTGGAGGCTGGGGAAACGGTAAGGGGCTGTGGGAGCAAGGAAGGCTATGAGGGCAGGCCTGGGGAGGGCCCAAGGCTGGCCAGCTGCCCGCAAGGTGTAAGCAGAGGGCAGGGTGGAATGGGGGCAAGGTGAGGGCAACTGGAGCCCTCCCTGTTCCGCCTCCAGAGAGGCCTTGGGAAGAACACAGGGTTTGGAGTCCAACAGACCTGGGTGTGCATCCCAGCTCTGTCCCTTCTGAGCTGTGCAACCTCGGGCAACTTCTTTAAACTTCCTGATTCCTCGGCTGGAAAATGGGGATAAGAGCACCTACCTGTCTAGGTTGTTGTGAGGACTAAAGGAGCTGATTAGGTAGTAACCCAGTATAAACTGTAAAGTGCTGAACAAATATTAGTTCCTATCCTCCAGAGGTGACTTTGCATGGAGGCAAAGGCAGAATACCGCAGCAGTAAAGGTTGGGCTCTGGAGAGAGAACAACCTGTGGTTGAGTCCTGGCATCTTTGAAATAAGTATAACTGCCTCACAGGAGCCTACTTTGAAGGGGACAAGACTCATTTGGTTGTATATTTAAAAAAAATATTTAGGAGGTGATTCTTGCTCGCTGGGTGGTTCTTGGGTGGGGGTGGGGGACAAATGCAGGTCATTGGCAGGGTCTTGGAGAACAGGAAGAAATTGCCTTGGGACCCTGGGGAGCCTGGGGGCAGTGGTCTTACCCAGGGCCTGGGGGATCTTCGGACTCAGTGGCAATCTGTTCAAGGGGTGGGGTTGCCTGTCCCCACTAGCAAAGGTCATGGTGAAAATGCAGCCCATCCTGGTGCCAGGGGTGTCCCACTTCCAGAGATTGGGGTGGACCAGGGCTGTGGCACTTTTTGCCTTGCCTTTCTTCCCCTTTCCGGGGGCTGAGGTGGTGGCAGTGGTGTCTGACTTCTCAATGTGCCCCAGGCTCGTGGCCCCAGCAACTTTCCTAGAAGCTGACCTGTGGGTGAGGGCCCCCGAGTCCTTGCCTTCCCTGGAGTCTTGCTGGGTCAGCAGGTGAGGGAGTGCCGGGCGGATTGTCATCCGCCGGTGACACATTGCCGTGGGCTTCTTGATGGTGGAGCCCTCTACCAGGAGTCGGATACCCACATACTGGGGCACCTCCACAGCAGGCTGTGGGGAAGAAGAAGAGACAAAGCCCGCTCAGACAGGACCCAGGGCCGACATGGATGGAATTAACTTCTGGGGGCATCTGGTCAGGAGACGTTTCTGAGCTGAGAAGCAGGAAGCCCACCTCTGTCCTCTATGGGGTCTGGCCCTGGAGGCCTGAATCTGAATCTAGAAGGTCTTGGAGCTGTCAAATGAGGGCCCCAGGCATTTGGTAACCCAGAGGAGGAGGGAGTCCTAGCCATGCCCCCACTAGCACCCTTCTACCCCACTGCCACTCCATTGTCCCATGGCTCCATCCCCAGGCTTGTAGACAGCTTCCTGAGGTGAGCCAATCAGATTCTCTGCAGAGAGAATTTGAGTTAAGACACCCAGACAGATAACAGAGCCTTGGAGCCTGTCTAGAGCCTCTGGTGAACCCAAGTTACAGGAGAGCAGAAACTAAAGGCTTTAAAGAAAGCGGTCTGGGGAGAGGATGAAGTCGCAAACAGCAGAGGGAGGCAGAGAAAAGGGCTCAAGAGAGGAGCTCTCTTACAGTTCTGTGTTCCCGATAACCCACACTGTACTTCCTGCAGCTGGGCTCCAGGAGAGACCCCTAGCCTTGCTAACAACCCTCCTTTAACCTTCAGCTAGTTTGAGGTGTTTCTGTGTCATCAAAGGATCCTGATTCAACTCTATCTAAGTATCAGAATCACTTGGAACTTGTTAAAAAATACAGATATCAGAGTTCCCAAATAGCCCCAGTTGATGAGGGAAAGCTCATCTTAAAAGAGGAATCTCAGCGGATAAATGTAGAAGGAATGACAGAATTAGAAATTTACCATTTTGCAACTCTAATAAAATAGGCAAGAATCAACATTGGATGTCAAAATAATTAGGTGAAAAGGATGACAGAAAAATGTGTAATGTACACACAGTCAAAGTATCACCTTACATATGAATTGGTAATTGCAAAGGGGAGGGTGTAGCTTACAAGGGAGAGATCTGGTAGCCACCACCTTAAAGCCACGGTCAGACTTAGCATCACCCATCATGAGGCCCTCTGACAGTATGTGCCTCGTGATGCCGTACGAGGTACCCAGCACCACCTCTGAAGCATTCTTGCCAAAAGTGTTTAACCTGAGTCTCATCAAGCTTTTTGACCTAACTTCTAGTTCACAGGACATCGAGATGACAGAAGAACAAGTTAGACACCACCACAAGGAGACAATCAGAAAAATCCCGAATGTGGGGCAGTTCTACAAAACAACCAGCCTGGTCTCTTCAAAAGACTAAAGCTATGGGGGAAAAAAAGTGGTAGGACTGTTCTAGATTAAAAGAGATTAAAAAGACAAAGCAACCAATGCAAGCTATGAACATTAATTAGATTTTGGCTTAAAAAACAAAAACAAAAAATCAGCTACAAAAGATATTTCGGGGCCACAAAGGAAAGCTGGCAAATGTAGGTGCATAGTCTGTCTCCAAGCCAGACACTACGACTCAGTCTCTGGACGTAAGGCCTCCTGGCATCTCCGCTTGTAGAAAGCGTCCCAGGGGATTCCAGCCTGTGAACCAGCACTGGGGGAATCACTACACTGCATTCCCTTCCCCTTTGGCTCTGTCTTATTTTCCTGTCCTTATACTTCCTCATTTGCATTTTTTGAAACCAAAATGCTAACAATACTATTTTAAAATATAATCAGTCTGTGACAAAAACCAGAACACTTGGGTCACGCAATCAGCATGTTCTCTCCCCATAGCCAAACTATGAGGGAAGCTGAATCCTAAGCCAAAGCTACTTAATTAAACTGCCACAAGAAATTACTGCCACAGAGCTCAGAAACCTTTAAAATGGGTTTTATGACTGTTTTTTAAAAATCTGATGCTATTCCATAAGTGGACTCATCTTTTTTTTTTTGGAATAATCACAAGACGAGTAAAATAATAATAATAGCATCTACCACTAATTGCCTAGGCAATTTACACGTGATGCCATTTACAATGAAACTCCTAACAACCTGATTAGGAATAACAATAGCTAAACCTTGTATAGCATTCACTCTGTGCCAGGCACTGTTCTAAAGTGCTTTACTTATGTCAACTCATTTAATTCTCACAATAACCTTATGAAGTAGGTACTACTTTTATTTCCACTTTACAGATGAGAAGACTGAGGCCCCTAGAGGTTAGGAACGTGTCCAGAGTCACCCTGCTTGTAGTTACTGAGCAGGGATTTGTACCCAGGGAGGTTCCAAAATCCATGCCCTTAACACTACACTATACTGCATCTCTGGAGTCCCTGAGTGGTACAAATGGTTAATGTCCTCAGCTGCTAACTAAAAGGCTGGAAATTCGAGTCAGCCCGGAGATGCCTTAGAAGAAAAGTCTGGCAATCTACTGAAAAATCAGCCACTGCAAACCCACATGCTGTACTCCAACACACGTGGGGTTGCCATGAGTCAGAATCGACTCAACAGCAACTGATTATACTGCTCCTCTAAAAATATTATCCACACATAATACTCATTTCATCCTCCCAACCTCATGAGAAAGACAGTAATATTATCTCCATTTTACAAATGAAGAAACTGAGGCTCAGCGAGGCGAAGCCGCTGTAGTAAGTCACTGTGGCGAGACTAACTGCAGAGCCCTTGTGCTTCACTATGGGGCTGTGTGAAAGAGGGGGCAGATCCCTGGAGGAGTGTGAGACCAGAGTCCTATCTGGGCACGGCCACCTCACCTGTTTGTAGATAAGCTCAAAGGCTCCTGTGTCACAATTGTGGTCCTGTCGCCGGTCGATGACCACACGCAGAGTGTCGGCTTGCACGCCAGCACAGAGCCGGGCCGTGACCGCCGTGGAGGGCGCCATGGTGGGGCTGGCGTTGATCTCGATCAGCCAAGGCTGGAAATCCTCCCCGAACACAAAGTCCGCACCATAGAGCTCGAAGCTGGCCTTCCGACACTGCACGGTGTCCTGGGAGGTCTGCAGTGCGTGGATCACAGCAGCCTTCATGCCAGGCACAATGATGGTGGACCAGGCCTCTGGGGCCCCCATCTCCTGCAGGTGGGCCTGGAATTTCTGGCTTGACCACATGTTGTCTGGGGGCAGCTGTGGATGCCGGTGGCATGAGTTCTCCAGATGTTTCTGGATGGAGTTGTTGCACAGGTGCACCGAGCTGGGGCAGAGAGTAGAAACCTGAGGCCCTGGCCCCTGCTGCCTCTCCCACCCAAACTCAGGGAGGCAGGCAAACCCTGGAGTCAGCCCTGGGCCACCCTTGACCATTAAGCTGGAGATGGAGCCCTGCTGTGACGGTTAAGGGGGACAAAGGCAAGCTTAGGCCTGCTCAGGCACCTGGGCCCCATGACACCCTTCTAGGGCCAGAACCAGCTAACTACAGGAACTGCAGTGTGAAAGTGCTTTGTGCATCTCAATCAACCCTCCCAGTGCTTGGAAGATAAGAAAGTGGGTATAATGGATTGAATTCAAACTGCTGTCCTTTTGGTTAGCAGCCAAATGCTTAACCACTGTACCACCAGGGCCCCTAAAATATGTATTAAAGTCCTAGCCCCTGTACCTACTGTGATCCTGTTTGGAAATAGAGGTTTTCTTTTATTATGTTAATGAGGTCATACCAAAGCAGGGTGGGTCCTAAACCTAATCACTTCTAAGTTATAAAAAGCAGAACAGACACAGAGGCACACACAGGGGGAAGACAGCTACCAAGAAACACCAAAGAATGTCAAAGAACTCCTGGCGCTAACGATAAGATGGGACCCTCCCCTAGAGCTGATGCCCTGATTTGGACTTCTAGCCTCCAAAACTGAGACAATAAATTCTGTTTTTTAAATCACCCACTTGTGGTATTTTTTGTTACAGCAGCACTAGGTAACTAAGACAAGGGGTAAGAGTATGGGCCCTGTAGTCACCAAGAAAAGAAGTCCTGGTGGCACAGTGGTTAAACCACTTGGCTGCTAACCAAAAGGTTGGCAGTTTGAACCCACTAGCTCCGTGGGAGAAAGATGCTGCAGTCTGCTTCCGTAAAGATTTACAGCCTTGGAAACCCTGTGGGGAAGTTCTACTCTGTCCTATAGGGTCACTATGAATCGGAATTGACTCGATAGCAACAGGTTTGTCACCAAGACGTGTTCAAGTCCCATCTTCACCACTTAAACATTTGATCTTAGGCAAGTCATTGAACCTCTCTGAGTCCTCATTTCACAACTGTAAAATGTGGATAATGACAGTACCAACTTCACTGGGTTTGTGTAAAGAATGACTGAGATAATACACATGAGCACTCAATAATTGATAGCTATAATTATGAGTTTCATATTACTGCCTCCATTCTTCAGATGTGGCAATTAAGGCTTAAAATAGGCTTTCACTTGACCAAAGCTTGGAAGTTGCAGAGATGGAATTTGCACCCAGGCCTCAACAAGTTATCCTCCCAACCCCCCAATTTAACCCCGCAACTTGTCTCTCTCCTCTGGTACTTCTCTTGCTACCCCCTTTTACCCTAGTCTACTTTTTCTTCATAACATGTATCACTATTTAACATATTAGACAGTTTTACTTATTATGTGCATTACTTGTTGTCTGTTTCTCCCTGAGCTTCTTGACAGCTGGGATATTGATTTGTTTGCTGCTTGTCTTAGTTACCTGGAGCGGCCATAACAGAAATACCACAAGTGGGTGGCTTTAAAGAACAGGAATTTTCTCTCAGTTCTGGAGGTTAAAAGTCCGTATCAGGGTCTTGGCCATGTCGATTGCTTCTGCAAGCCTCTCTCCTTACTGGTGACTGTTAGTGATAACTTGGCATTGTTTGGCCTGTAGATGATCCTACATGGCGTCTGTCTTTCTGTGTGTGTGCATGTGTACGCGCGTGGGAGTGTGTGTGACAAAGAGAGTAAGGTCTGCCAAAATATCTATTTATAGTCTGGAGGCAGAACACATCCTACCTAGGGAAACTCCCCTTTCAACTGATTGATTACATTACATTAGCTTTCATTAGGGAAGGTAATTTGCTTTGCTTAAGGCCAACTGATTTCATCACATGTAACTACTCCATAACACTAGACTAGTGTTTGGCCCAACAACTGGAAACCATAGTTTAGCCAAGTTGATACAGACATTACTAAGTCACGGTGGTATCCCAAGTGCCTAGAACAGTGAAATGGCACATGTACACAATAAGTATTTGTCAGATGCCTTTAAGGATGGATGGATGGCTGGCCTGGCTGCCTGCAGAGTCTGAATTTGGGGCCCCAGCGATATGCAATTCCACTGCACTGTAACTGCCTATTTGCCTGCCATCTCCCCTCCTAGACTGGGAACTCATGGGAGATGAGTGATGGGGCTCACTTGTCCAGGTTCTTTAGGGAGAATGGCTGCGTAGAAAAGCGGATATAGCTATCACGGTAGAACCAAACAGTAAGTGGGTTCCAGTCAGTCACCAGAAACCACTGTCTCAGGTCAAACTTGGTGCCAAAGATGAGCAGGGGCCGCTCAATGTACTTCTGCACCACCCACTTGCCGTCCTTCATCATCATGGGGTTGCAGTTCACCAGTTTCAGCATCTCCTCCAGGTGGTCCATGCACACGATGCCTAAGGGGGGAAGGGGCACAGACTCAAGTCAGGGGTCAGGAAGTCAGGCTAGGCCTTGAAGAAGGGCCCAGGACCATGGCCTGCTCACCACAAGATCTTATCCCCACAGAAAGGATAGGGCCAAGGAGGGAAGGCTGCCTCCCTCAATCAGACCCTTTCCTTTTGAGAAAGTGGAGAACCTGCCAGGAATTTTCTTATTTTTTTTAATTAACTAGCTTGATTGAAAAGGAATATATGCACAGATAAAAATTCAAACAGTATTTACTCTTGAGGTTTTTTAAAAATTATGTTCATATATTACTTTGATTAATCTCCCTCACAATAGTTAACAGAATATAAACAACAACAAAAATCAAGCAATATAAAAGGATATACAATAAAAAATAAGTCTCCTTCCCCAGAGGCAGCCAACTGCTGCTTTCAAGTCCTTGTGGATATCCTCCCAGGTCATGTGAGTGTCTATGTGTGCCTCTGTTTCATAGTATTATGTACATGTTGGGGATTTAGAACAGGCTTGGTACATGGGAAGCATTCAGTCAATGTTTACTCATATCACTATTCTTATTCATTATTAGTAGAATAATAAGTTTGTAGCAGTAGAACTGCTAGCTCCAAAGATATGTGCCTTTTTCATTTTTATATTATTAAATTGACCTACAAAGATGTTCTATCAATTTTTACTCCAAGCAAGAATGTATGAGGTTGTATGTTTCTCCACATCCTACTCAACACTGTTGATTATTAGAATTTTTTTTTTGCCTTCTCCTAGGTAGAAAAGGGTATCTCATTTTAATTTAATCTCTTTTATGCTTATAAGGCATCAGATATTGGTAAATATCAGAACCACTTTACAAAGCAAACACACACACTCACGAATGAGTATCATTCTTTCATTGTTCGGCCCCATGAAGCAGCCAGATCAACTGCCAGTGGTGCAGAATAATTTGTGCCAGATTCTTTCCCAAATGACCAGACTGATCACCAAGATTCCCAAGAACATGCTGCCTTGTGTAACAAAAAATTAAAGTGGTTCAATTTCATTTCTAGTAATTTATCCTAAGGAAATAAATGGAACAGGCCACAGAGGTATCTGCACAAGATGTTCATCACAGTGTTGCTTATAATAGCAATAAATAAATACGAAGAAAATCTAATTACCCTTCAGAAGAGGATTAGATAAATGCATGACAGTATATCCAACAAGATTAGACCATACAGCTGCAAAAAATAACGTAACGGATACACAAATGCGGTATATCCATTCAATGGAATATTATTCAGTCATACAGAGAAATGAGATTCTGATACATGCTACAACCTGGACGGACCTTGAAAACATCATACAGGGTGAAATAAGTCAGATACAAAGGGACAAATATTATATGATCCCACTTATATGAAACAGGCAAATGAATAGAGACCAAAGTTTACTACTGGTTACCAAGGGCTGGGGGAAGGGAGAATGAGGAGTTACTGCTGAAGGTGTACTGAGTTTCTCTTTGGGGTGATGAAAACCTTTTAGAAATAAATAGTGGTGATGGTTGCACAATACGGTGAATGTAATCAATGCCACTGAACGGTACACTTAAAATGGTTAAAATGGTAAATTTTATGTTACATATGTTTTACCACAATAAGTTTTTAAAAATAAAATAGGCAACACTAATCTATACTACTGTAAGTCAGGATAGTCACCACTACTGTGGGGAGGTAGAGATTGAAGGAGGCATGGGAGGGATGTCTAGGGTACAAGTATGTAATGTTTTATTTCTGGTTACACAAGTGTGAATTCACTGAGCTACATACTCACAATATGTGCCCTCTTCAGGGAAGCATACCATATATATATTTCAACTAATTTTTTTAAAAAGGGAGAAAAAAATAGGCAAATCCATAAAGACAGAAAGCAGATTAATGGCTACCAGGAGATGGGGGAAGGGGAAGTGGGGAGTGGCTGCTTAATCAGTTTGGGTATTCTTCTGGGGTGATGTAAAAGTTTTTAAACTACAGAGAGGTGGTGGTTGCACAGCCTTGTGAGTACACTAAAGTGAATTCTATACTTTACAATGGTTCATTGTCGGTTATATGAATATCACCTAGATTTTTTAAAATGGAAGGAAAATGTTAAATCTGGTGATAGGTACATGGAGATTCATTGTATTATTCTCCCTACTTTTGTGAATGTTCGAAAGTGTCCGTAATAATAAGCTAAAAACAGGGGAAAAAATAAAGCAGATCTAGATATACTGAAATGGAGTGATTTCCAAGATTATTGCTAAGAGAAAAGAAAGAGAGGTGCAAAAAAGCAATAAGTTATACTAACTGACATGGAAAGATATAATAAATGAGAAGAAGAGGCTACCGAACTGTATGTTCTTGCTTATCTACACACACACACACACACACACACACACACACACACACACACACACACACAAGTATACCAAACACACAGAAGAACATGAAGAAAGGAACAAACCAAAAGGTTAACAGTAGCTGTCTCTCAGTGAAATTGGGGAGTAGGGGGCTGAGGGTGAGGAAAAGGGGGCTTTTACTTTCTTCTTTCTACTTTTCTGTATCATCTGATTTTCCTTTACAATGAACACATTGTTTTCACCACTGGATAAAAAAAAACAACACAGCTATTTCTAAGGTAGAAAAAGAAGAGAGCCTGCTGCTGGTTCTGAGGTAATGTCTGCAAAAAGAGTTTCCCCAGAGTCTGGAGCTGGACCAGCTCCACTGGGACATGAATAGACTCTTCCAGGGGCAGGATTTAGTGGCATCTGATGCCCAAAGTGGCGTAGTGGTTAAGAGTTTGACTGCTAACCAAAAAGGCTGGCAGTTCGAATCCACCAGCCGCTCCCTGGAAACCCTATAGGGCAGTTCTACTCTGTCCTATAGGGTCGCTATGAGTCGGAATCAACTCGATGGCAATGGGTTTGGGTTTTTTTTTCGGTTTGTTGCCCCAAGTATGTTTTCTACATCTCAGGAATCCTAAACCAGTTTTTAAAGGCTGGGCTAATGCCCCTGGCTCCCCTTTTCAAATTTCCTTCACACTTGATTGAGCAGCCAGGGTACAGCTAATAATCATAGCCCAAAATCATATAGTAGTTACGATGTAAAAGCACAGGATCTAAGTACTTCACATATCTTAACTCATTTAAGCCTCTCAGGTGGGTATTAGTGTATTATTGGCTCCATTTTACCAAAGATGAAAAATGAGGCACAGAAGAGGTTAACTAACCCGCCTGAAGTCTTACAAAGAGTAGGAGGTAGAGCTTGGATTTGAACCCAGGCAGTCTGGCTTCCAGCGTCCATGTCCTTACCTACTATGCATACCTCACATGGATGCACTGATCAAATCTGTAAGCCCTTAGATGACAAGGACCTGCACGAGTCATACCTGAGCATCACCAGACCTACCTAAAACATTAACCCAAACTCTGAGGGCAGGTGAGGAAGAGATGGCATCATCATCACAGCTGCCAATGTTTGTGGGGTGCCTACTCTGTGCGAGGCACTATGCTGAACTTAAAACATACTATCTCATTTAGATGTACTCACCCCATTCACAGAGGAGGAAACTGAGGTTCGGAGAGGTGATATTACTTGCTCAAGGTCACACAGCATATTAGAAGCAGAGCTGGGATTCAATCCCAGGCAGTTTGTCTCCAGAGCCTGCACTATTCACCTCCCTGGCCTCTGGTGGGGGAGGCAGGCTGTGGGGTGTGGGTACAGGAAGCAGGGCTGACCCCCACCTCGTCCACGGGACTTGGCTCCTGGCTTCACGATCCAGATGTTGCGATCCCCTTCCATGTCGATCTGGGGCACCACAGCCCGCAGCTGCTGTAGGATGTCCTCACAGCGCTGGACCTGAGTGTCGAGGTGCTTGAGTTCTGCCCCCTCGCTGTGGGGAGATGGGGTGACTTGGGCAGGGCCAGGCCTGGGGGCAGGCAGGTGAACAGGGCAAGGGGAGACATGAGCCTCCCAGCCATGGTCCAACCACCTTTGGTTGTGTCTTCTCCCGGGAGATCCAGATAGGCTGTTCCTAAATCTCTTTCCCAGCCCTCAAGCTGGCCCCAAACCCTGACCTGCCCAGGGCTCCATCCCAGACTGCTCAGATGGGAGAGAGTGGGAAAATTCCTCTTATTGCATCCCCTCCTACTCCAACACTCCACCTTCCACCACCTCCCTTCCCGTTTGATTAAAACTGCCTTTGGCAGAATATAATCATGGCAGCTCCTACTGATGGGGTACCACTATGTGCCAGGCATTGTGTCAAGAGCTTTACATATATGATCACTGATCCTCTCACTGGTCCCATTTTAAAAACCAGTGGTGGTCAAGTCTATTCTGACTGATGGCAACCTGGTAGGGTTTTCAGTGGCTGATTTTTTGGAAGTAGATCACCAGGCCTTTCTTCCAAGGTACCTCTGGGTGGACTCCAACCTCCAACCTTTTGGTTAGTAGCCAAGAACAAATCGTTTACGCCACCCAGGGACCTTCGTTTAGAGGATTTCATTTGAAAGAAGTTTAAGCTAAAGCCTGGAGAGTTAAAGGACTTGGCCAAGGCCACACGTTGAGTTCAATGGCTGAGCCATGATTCAAACTTAGTTCTGCCTGGGTCCTCCACACAGGTGCGTTTTGGGTCCACTCCCATCCTAATCTGAACCTAACACTGGTTGATAGGTGGGTCCCTTCCTCCTCCAATCCTAAGCACATCCGTATCATACATCTCCTTGCTGTATTTCTCTTCCCACCATGTATCACCACATACAGTTATTCGTTTATTGTCCATCTCCCCTCATGAGAAGGGAAGCCCTAGAAGAGCAGGAACGTCTGTTGTTGTTCTCTGTTGTATTCTCAACACCAAGCACTGTACCTGCACTTATTAGATGCTCCCTAAGTGGTTGTTAAATGAATGAATGGTTGGCAGGTCATCAACTCAGCAACTGGGCTGTACAGATGGGGGCTCATGGACAAAATAGGACCTGTTCCCTCAGGACACAAGATGTCCAGAACTATCAAGTCACAAAATACCCTAGAGGGCTGCAACCTCCAAGTTCTCCCATTTCTCTTCTTCTGACTGAATAGGAAGGAAGTCTCCATGAGATGTTAACCTCTCCTTAACGACTTAGCCTCTTGGGCTGTCTTCAGCCATGGAGCACTTCTTATCACTCTTAAGGAAGAGGCAGCAGCCTCTGGAGCAGTGCCAGGAACAGGGGGCAGCCAGGTGGAGAAGCCTAGCAAGGCATCCTGGGAATACTCACACTAAGTCCTGGCCCTGATGGAAGACTTTTCCCCTGGCCTGTGACATAAAGTAGCTGCTCAGTAAATCTATGATTCAGCCCAGGAAAGAGTCAAATGGGGGCAGCAGATGCATGTGTCATTTGAAAAAGTATATTCAATAATGGCAATATGATTTTGTATTTAGCAAAAAGAAAAAACAACCAGTGTTTTTGTGGAAAGTCAAGCACGACAAAAGCCTGGCTGATGAGGCATGGATTATTAAATGCAAAACAAAAAAGTTGAGAAGCATAGCTATAAATATTGAATGAAATAATTAATGCTACTTTCTTAATCGAGGCAGTGATGTTTCAGTGGTAGAATTCTAGCCTTCCATGTGGGAGACCTGGGTTCTATTCCTGACCAATCCGTCTCATGCGCAGCCACCGCTCATCTGTCAGTGGAGGCTTGTGCGTTGCTATGATGCTGAGCAGGTTTCAGTGGAGCTTCCACACTACAATGGACTAGGAAGAAAGGTCTGGCAATCTACTTCTGAAAATCAGCCAATGAAAACCCTATGGATCCAACAGTCCAATCCACAACCAATCAAGGGGATGGTGCAGGACTGGGCAGTGTTTTGTTCCATTGTACATGAGGTCACCATGAGACGGGCCGACTTGACAGCAGCTAACAACAGCAACACGTTTTGAATGATCTGTACTGAGCAACTCAACACTGTATATAACTGTTACATGATGCAGTATTTTATGTAATCCCTGTTTTTGAGAGGTTGAGTGGTTCCCTGAGGGCAGGGACCTCATCTTGTTTCTGGAGTCTAGCACAATGCTTGGCACATAGGAGGTGCCCAGGAAATGCCTGCTAAATGTTCTCCCTGCCTCTCCAATCCCTCCTGCACACCTCTACTGAAGTTAACTTCCCTAAAACAGCACCAGTCTCATCCTGCTCCTCCCTTCCCCTGCTCAAGAACCTTTTCCCAAAGTGGGTTCTGAAAGCCCTTGCCCTCAGAACGCTCAGCAGGCAGGACTGGGGCCACATAAGTACAGGAAATACTGCACACTCTACCTCTCTTGGAGGTTTACTCCACCAATTACATATGAAAGGTTCTGACAAGTCCCGCGTTGGGGACACCTGTTTAACTTTAACTCAATGTTTTCCGAACATGATTGACCACAAAAGCTCTTCTTTCATAAAATCTATTAATAACCTGTAGAACTATCATCTTGCACGACACGTTCTGGGAAACACTGGCCTCTAGGGTAAAATCTAAGTGACTTGATAGATTTCTATTTTGTGAGTCAATACTATGAGACTGTGCTGAGCACATAACACAAGTTATCCTGTCTACCTACCTTTCAGGTAGGTATTATTTTCAAAACTATTTTGTATTGAGAAAAGTAAAGCTCAAAAAGATTAGTGATGTTCACAAGATCACAGAGCTTGGAAGTCACAAAGCCAGGTCTTGAACCGTGATCTTGATGACTACGCTATGCCAAGAACCAGGAAGAGTGGTTCGAACCCAATCATGAAGGCAATGGGAATGCTTGAAGTTTCTTGAGCAGAAGAGTAGCAGGGTGAGCAAAAGGGGAGGCTTAGAGAAGAGGTAGGGGCTGCACTGGATAGAGAAAGGGTCTGTGCCTAAGTATCAAGTCAGAACATGGAAGTCCCCTGAAGTCCCATGCCCCACGGCCCTGGCTGCAGGAATACTCACTGGACCACTTGGTAGTAGCGCTGGAGGAAGACGGACCAGCCCTGAGGACTGAGGTACAGCGGGGCCTCCAGATCCTTGTCGATGTCCATGTGGGCCAGGTTGCTAAGGTGTTCCTCACATGCACACAGAGCCTCGTCCACGAACTCTGGGGACACTGTCACTGGCTTTTTCTCCTGTTTCTTGTGCTGCTTGTCTCCTGCAGAGTTAGGGAGAGACCTGTCACTATCCCACATGCACGGCAGGTAACCTGACATGCCCTGGCCCCCACTGCCCCGAGGCCTATTATCTGAGGTCTCACCCTAAATATATCTGAGGCCCAGCACACACCTGCATCCCCTACTGCCCCAAGACTTGTCCCTTACCTGACACTTTGTCCTAAATATACCTGAGACTGAGCATACACCTGTATCCCCTACTGCTCTGGGATCTGTCACTCACCTGAGACCCTAGTGCTCACCCTCGGCCTCACTATCCCAGGACTTATCACTCATTTGCAGCTCTATCTTAAATGTCCCCAAGGCCTCAATGGCATCTATAGCCCCAGCACACACCTTCAGCCCCTCTGCCCCTGGGACCTCTGGCACACCTAAGGTCTGCCTAAAATGCACCTGGAAGCCTTAGCCTAGATGAAGCCCCGATATACATGAACCCCTCCCCGCAATCTGACGTGACTTCTTAAGTTCGTACCTACCCCTGACATTCTGCCACATACCAGAAATCTGGAGCCACACCCCAGAGGCCTGATGCACATCTACAGTCCTTAAGCCACTGAAGCACTAAACTACATGTGAAATGCTACTTACACCTGAGGCCCTGACACACACCTGGAGTTCTGACACACTGTACAAGTCCCGACACACACCTGAATGTGACGCACCAGAAACTGACACCTCAGATGCACACAAACAGCCCCAACACATACCTGAAAAGCTGTGGTCCTGACTCACCCTGAACAACTGCCATGCTCCTAAACTCCTGATGTACAATGGAGGCCCTCTGGGCTCCGAAGCCTGACCTACACCTGGGCCCAGCACCATGGGAGCTTAAGCACAGGGTCTCCAGTTCATACCTGAGGCCCTTGTACCCCTGATCTTGATATACAATAGTCTTCCTTGTACATGGAGCACACACCCAGAAGACAGCATGGGAGAGGTCTCCCTCTGAAAGAGGCCAGGACTTCCCACCTTCCAGCAGAACTGCCCCATACTTCCCTGAATCCCTGGCTTATGGGACCCTGGGATTTCAGGACTGGGGGCTTTGAGGTAGGAGCTAAATCCAGAAATAGCCAGCAGTGGGTGAGCCAACATGCAGTGAGGCTTCCTCTGTATCCCTGTCCCCCACCATTTCCAGGTGTTCCTTATGTTCAGGCACAACAGAGCCTCAGGCCATGAGTAAATTGCCCAGGCTGACTGTCTCCTCCTCCTCAGAGAACTGAGCTCCCCACGGGCAGGGATGGACCATGGCTTCTTAGTCTGTCCTCTCTAGAGTGCTTGGCCACATGCCAGGCCCATGGGAGGGCGGAATGAGGCAGTGGGCCGATTTAACAAATGGATAGCAAGACAGGTGGGTAGGTGGGTGGGATAAGAGAATGGAGGAGTGGATGGACTGGAGAATAGGTAGGTGGTGGAGAGGAGGATGAAAAAGTAGGTGGATAGATGGATCTGTAGAAGGATATGTGGGTAGGCAGATGAATAAATGGATGGGTGGGTGGTGGCAGGATAAATGAGTGGGGGAGTGGAGGTATCCATAGTACTTACCTGGGGTCTCTTCCTCTTCTTCCTGGATAGAGCATGGCCTCCATTCGGACTTCACCACCAGTTTGAGAACGTTGCGGGCGGCTGTCAGCCAGAAGTCCTCTGCTCCCAGGGCAGGGGATACCCTGCTCAGCCCCGAAGCTCGAGGCCTGTTCTGGTTCTGGAACCTGATCATAACCTGCCCCATTTTGGATCCGGGACATGACTCTACCTTCTCTGACTCTAGAACCTGGATTAGAACCTGACTCCTATTTCCGTTGTAGAACCAGCCCTAGACTCTGACCTGACTTGGCTCACAATCTGCCATCAGAATCTGTCCTGAACCTGTTGTCTGATTTCTCTCTTCTGTTCCTGATCTACTTTTGATATTTATTACGCCCTAAAAACCAGACCTTGGTCCAAAACTTATTTAAGATTTGGAGTCTAATTTAAACTTATTATCTAGTCTGGACCCAAATTTTGGCCTTAATTTAGAAAATAGTCTAGACTTGGAAACAAACCTACCTTAGAAAACCAAAGTCTAGAGCCTTGTCTAGATTTGGAACCTGATCTAGCCAACGGAACTTGACTAGGCCTGGAACCTACTCTGGATTCCAAACTCAACCAACTGACCAAGTTTTTTAGAACATACTCTAATACATATCTGTCTAAGCTCTTCTGGAGGTCTGGGATGACCAAGCTAGAAGACTCATAAAGGGAGGGCACATTACGAAAAGGTAAGGATCAGGGATGGAGAGGGAAATCTGCTGGGGTACAGGAGGGCATGAGAAGAGGACCATTCTTCTCCAACCTGAGCCAGGGCTTTAGCCCTGGTCCTGCAGCCTGAGGGGTCCAGGTATGGGGCTGGAGGTCTCCTTACCTATGAAGGCTCGTTTGTCATCTTCAGCCCCCAGGCGGTAGCAGCGCGGGAAGAAGGAGTCAGCATCAGCCTCATCAAACCAGGGCAAATTCCGGAGATTGAGACATAGACCCACCTATGGAGTTAACCGCTGAGGGGGCAGGGTGGGTCTTGCCCAGAGAGCCTCCAAGGGATTCCATCATACTCAGCACCCACACAGACAGCTCAGGGAGACCCTGCCTGCACACATTCTCACAGCCTCTCCCACTTGCCGGGCCTGCCTTGCTCATCTCCATCCCTATACCTTTGTCCTCTGCCAAGAGTACCCCACATCCCTCCTATCCACCTTCCACATTCATAAAGACCTGCCTCCTCTAGGCATCCTTGCCAGCCCACACCAATAATAGCAGGGCCCAATTATACAGTCCTCCAACCTTGCCCACTCTGGGAGGTAGGTCTTACTGTTATCCCCATTTAAAGATGAGGCAACTAAGAGGTGAAGTCACTTGCTAATAAGCCCAGGAAAGATAAGACTGGATCCATCAGCCAGATCCATCTCCTGCTTAGGAAGTAAGGGCCCTCTTGCTCACAGTCATTGGATGTGCTATTTCTTCTGGCTCTATTTTGAGTTCCAGAGCCTATTTTATTTGTTATGTCTCCACATACCAGGCACTGTGCCCGGGGTTGGGTGTGAACGCAAGCCTGACTTCAAATCCTGCTGAATGATATGCCTTCCCCCTCCTAAGAACTCTTTTCCAGGTAAGAGGCGCAGGGATCAGGGATGCCAGCCCAGGGATGTGGGGGTGGGAGGCTGCCCTGCCTGTCCCCCCTGGGGTCCACCTTTGTGGTGAAGGAGCCGGCCCGAGCATAGTGGTTTATCATTTGATCCTTGGAGAGGAAGCGACAGTCCAGCACATCACGCCGAGTGGTCCAGATGAAGTAGGGGGTCTCATTCCGAACCATGCGGGACTGGGGAGTGAGGGAGGAGACAGGCGAGGCTGGCATGAGCAGCACAAGGCCTGAAGGGGCTTCTCCCTGCCCAGCTGAGCAGGGCAGGTGAACAGGAAGGAGGGAAGTCTTCCAGGTGGCCTCCAACCCACATGCCATCTTTGCATACGGTAGGAAAAGACAGCTCTTCCTCCAGGGCACACACTAGGGGAGCATAGAGCATGCCAGCTTTCAGCCTCCCTTTGGTTGAGCGCCCCTAAGCACTGACCGAGCTGTACCACTGTGCACTGCACCCTATCCTGGCCTTTGGACATCAGGGACTTGCCCAGGATAGCAATTCCAAGCTGATGGGCACACAGCATGTGACAAAGGCCCTCTCCTAGACCCCGCCTCTCCACCCTCCCTACAACTCTGAGAGGTAGGATTATTAATAATCACACCATATGCCAGGCCCTGTTCTAAGCACTTCCCATGTCTGAATTCACTGAATCCTCATCACAACCCCGGGAGGTAGATGCTGTTGTTATCCCCATTCCACAGATGAAAAACTGAGGCACAGGGAGGGTAAATGGAAGGGCTCGCAAGGGCTCACAAGCTATTACTAGGTTGAGCCATATGAAATTGCCAGCATTCAACCTGTCATGACACTTTATATAGTTCAGCTTAGTAAGTGGCGGTGCCAAGATTTAAACCCAAGTGTCCTCACCTAAATATGCATATCCTCCACACTGTCATATCAGCCTCTTCACTTGCCAAGGGCAAAGGAAGGGGATTAACTACGGGGTTATTATTTGGAAGGGGGTATTACCAGGCCTGGAGGCTATGCCGGCTTCTGATACAACCTAGCAGAATTCTGAGTCCCAGGCCAGCCTTGTCTGAGCCCGGCTGAGTCTCCCCAGCTCTGCTGGCCCACCTAGCCCTCAGAGAAGCCATCTGTTTTTACTATGGATGAGGGAACTGAGGCCCAGAGAAGGAAAAGGACTTGTCTGAGGTCACCCAGCTAGATGCCATCATTCTCTCTCTGATCAGGAAGCCTCCTGTCACCCCCTGCTTCATCTTGGTCCCCAGGCCCCTCACCATCAGAGCATGGGTCCCATCTAGGTCATCAAATTCCAGTAAACCATCGAAGTCGAACAGCTGCGGTGGCCGGAACTCCTTGTCCTCGTCTTCATCCTCTGTGGATGCGAAGCTCAGGCCTGATGAGGCCCCAGTCCTTGTCCCATATGCCCATACCAGGGCTGAGGCCATGGGAGCCACCAAGGGAAAGGGACACGGGAGGGGCAGTTGGGGAATGGGAGGGAGATGCTCACCATCCTCAGTGGTGTCACTATCACACATCACTGAGCTATCCAGATCCTTCTGGGATGGTGGCAGGGTGGTACCTGTGTGATGGGCCATCTTCTTCTCCACCCATCCCCTTCGGCGCAAGAGGCACCGGATCACTGGGTAGCGGCCTTGGATCATAAAGATTTTCTTCTGCTATAAGGTGAGAGAAGGATACTTGTTCAATAAACATTGCCTAAGTGCCAGGCATAGGAGATATAATGGTGAACCAGACAGTCATGGTCTCCACCCTCAGAACATTTTTATATTCCAGTAGCGGAGACTAAACAAGCAGAAAAATAAGTATGTATAGTTAATTATAATGGAAATAGCTAATATTGATTGAGCACCTACTATGCGTTAAGCACTTATATACAGTACTACTATTACTAATATGCATTTTAATAGACACTATTATCCTCATCTTACTGGTAATGAAACAGAGGCATAGACAGGTTGAGCAGCTTGCCCGTGGCCACGAAGCAGCTAAGTCAAAGAGCGGGGATTTAATCCAGGCAGGCTGGCTCCAGAAACTGAATACTTAATGGGGACCCAGAGAAACTACTTAGAAACACATGGTCAGGGAAGGTTGAGAAGGAGACATAAACATGCAGAGCTGCGCAAATGACAGTTCAGGCAGAGGGAATAGCACATGCAAAGGCCCTGAGGTTGAAAAGAAAGGAGACCAGAATGAATAGAGTATGGAAAGTGAGGTAGGCAATGGCTAGACTGTGGCAGGCCTGTAGGCCTTGGAACCAACTTAAGGTATTATACTAAAAGTAGCATGAAGCAATAAAGAGAGGGAGTGATACGACTGTGTGCCTTATAATCATTATAAGTTTGGCTTGCTGTACGGAGAATAGATGGAGGGGACAAGGATGGGAACTTAGAAGGCTATTGTGGTTTGTATAAGACAGAAATCACAATAGCTAAAATGTGTGAAAATACAGAAAAGGTGACAGAGCTGAGATTTGTGTTGGAGGTAGAGATGACTGGTTTTACCAATGGAATTTGTATGGGGTGAGGAACAGAAAGATCAGATTTCTGGCCTGAGCAACTGGGAGATGGGGAAGACAGAGACTGAGAAGGAAGACAGATTTGGGCAGGAAAATAGAAAATGTGGTTTGGGACAGGAGTTTGAAATGCCTGTAAGTTCTCCAGGTGATGTTAAGTAGGGGTCTGGAGTGTGTGGGTATGGAGTTCAGAGTAGAGGCTGGGCCAGAAAGGACATTCCGGTGTGTGGGAGGAAGTGAGCACACTACTGGACTCAGGCAAGAGGAGAGACGAACCTGTGAAGGGAGAGGGCATGGGGAGGGACCCAGGAAACCAGTAAAAAACAGCAGCCAGAGAGGGAGAAAGGAAAACCAGGAGTGTGCAGTCAGCCAGCAGAGAGGGCAGGGTGTGTGGGTGGGCAGTGTGGAATGATGCTGAGTGGCCATTCGAGATCAGGACAGAAAAGGGGCCGCTGGATTTGGTTCCTTGGAGGTCACTGGCAACCTTCACTAGGATGGTGTTCAATGGGACTGGGAAAGGGCAGGGAACCAGAGTGGAGTGAGTTGAGAAGTGAATCCCAGGTAAAGAAGTAGAATAGTGAGTGTAGGCAATTCTGCCAAGAGGTTTGGCTGTGAAGGTGGAATAAATATGAGGAAGTAGTTGAAGACGGGTGTAGGTCCAGGGTTTTTCTGTTTGTTTTTAAAGGACAGGAGAAAACAGTGCAGTAAGGTAGGCTGAGTCAAACCCTGGGCCCTTTCTGGGCCCCTTCAGCCCCTCCGACCTTGACAGCTCTCTCTACGTGGATCTTGGCATTTCCGAGCCGGCCCATGTGGTGAGATGCCTTGGAGAACCCTCGCCAGAGGACAAATGAACCTGCAGAAAGATGAGGAGGGAGCGGTTCGGGCTCAGCTTAGGCCTCTTCCGGTTCGATGCCCACACCTCCTCTCTTTCTCCACCCTTCATCCGCCCACCCTCTGGCGCTCTTCTCCCGACCCCCATTCCTCACACCCCAATGTCTTCTCGTCCTTGCAGCTGCCACGGGCCAGCATCCGCTGCTGCCTCCGGGAGGGCGGGCCCCTCTGGGCCTCACCTTCCTGCGGCTGAGGGTCATCCAGGGCCGGGGTGTGCGTGGGGCCCAGGGGGTGGGGATCCGCGGCGCCCTTGGCTTGGGCGCTGCGGGCGAGCGTTGGGAAGGCGCAGTCCAGGCGGCGCGCAGGGGCGGGGCCGCCGACCTGGCTTTGGCCGCCTGCGTTGGCCCGGTGGAGACCTGCGGAGGCGGGCCCGGGCCATGGCAGTGTCGCAGGCAGTCGGAACTCGGAGTGGTGCGCCCAGGGCCAAGGGGCGGGGGATCTGCTGCGCGGCTCAGGTGGTTGCGGCTTCTGCGGCCAGCGGCACACCGGGCCGCCCTCCTGACGGTACCAGGTGGCGGAGCCCGGGCGCACGGCCCCCACCTGAACCCCAGCCAGGAGCAGCGCGGCGCCGGGGCTCTGCATACGCCCCTCGCGGCGCGCGCCCTCCCAGAGGCTCTGCGCCCACCACCGCTCGCGCGCGGCCGCCTCTCTGGGGAGGGCCCTGCCCAGGCCTGAGCTGGGCCCTGTGTTCCGAGGCCCCGCCCCCTGTTTGCTGTCGCCTAGGAAACCATTCCCAGTGCACAATCAGGAGCGCGAGGCGGGTTCCGGGGCGGCCGTGGGCCCCGGTGTCAGGCGCTAGACCTCGCCTGCCCCAGTCCCCTGATGAGCAGGACAGTGAGCATGCAAGCGCAGAGCACTGGGCTGCCACTTATTATCATTGTCACGGTTCCTTACCGAGTGCCTCCAGGGTGCCAAAGGTCCTGGGGCTTACGCTACTCCACAGTATTTACAGAGGATCACGAGGTAGGCACTGGACTAGGCGCTGGGGATCCGCAAAACAACAGAGAGGTGGTCCCTGACCTCATGGAGCTTTCAACCCAGTGGGGGTAAACAAAAAGGAAGCAAAGGAATAATACAGTTGCAGGTATGATAGGGGACATAAACAAGCAGTGAGCTGCAATCAGGAAGGGGGCACACTTTTTAGGTCAGGTAGTCAAGATGTCCTCTCTGAAAAGGTAACGTTTAAGATGAAGCCTACACAAGAAACTACCACATCAGATGTTGTAAATGTCCCACTGAAGGCACAGAATGCCAGTCTGCCCCATTTTGGGGGCGCCAGGATTGACCCCTTGGTTATGGAGCAAAGCTTTAAATGTATAAAACAGGCAGTAAATATATTAGAAGAAAACAATGTTTCAAAATAGTGGAAGGAAAACAAGGAAGGAGTGAGACACACTAGGAAAACAGTAGGAAAAGAAAATAATGTGAAATAAAAGCCAGAGGTCATAAAAGATTTTAAAAATCTTTTAATGGAAAAGGAAGACAGAAGAATTGATGTGTTTGAACTGTGATGCCGGCAAGGTATATTGAATATACCATGCACTGCCGAAAGAACAAACAAATCAGTCTGAGAAGAAATACAGTCAGGATGCTCCTTCCAAGCCAGGATGATGAGACTTCAGCTTGCTTTCTTTGGATGCATCATTAGGAAAGACCAATCACTAGAAAAGGACAACATACCTGGAAAAGTAGAGGGCCAACAAAAGCAAGGGAAACCCTCAATGAGACAGAGTGACACAACACCGCAACCAAGGACTCAAACATACCAATGATCATGAAGATGGCACGGGAACTGACAATGTTTCATTCTGTTATCCATGGGGTCGCCATGAGTAGGAGCTGACTCGACAACAACAACAAAAGATCCAATTACATAAAAATCAAAGCTTTCAACATGGATGAACCTTGTAAACATCATGCTGAGTGAAATAAGTCAGTCACAAAAAGACAAATATTGTATGACTACATTTATAAGAAATATCTAGAATTTGGCAAATGTATACAGACCAAAGTTTATTAGTGGTTACCTGGGGTGGGGCGGAGAGGGAGGTGTTGCTTAGGGCGCACTGAGCTTCTGTTAAGGGTGATGGAAAACTTTGGAAATGGATAGTGATGGTTGCACAACATGATGGACATGTTACTGAGCTGCACATGTAAAAAAATGTTGAAATGGCAATGTTTTGTGATATACATTTACCACAATAAAAAAGATTCCTACTTAAAAAAAAAAAGATGAAGCCTACAGAATACAAACGGGTCCGCCAGGGGAAGAAGGGCGAATAGCATTCCAGGCAGAGGTAATAGTCTCAGGCTCTGCAGGGCCTGGCAGATGGGGCTCGGGTAAGGCCATTAGGAATAGAGGCGGGTGCCCCACCTGGCTGGTGAGACAACCCCAACCACTGAGATCACCCTTCCCAACCCCATTTGGCTGGTGACCGGGCTTCCCAAGAGGCATGCCCCCAGAAGACAGGCTGATCGGCAACTACCCAGCCTGCAAATTTGCTTTTAGGGGCTTTGGACACTGAGAGGTGGATCTGTGACAAATGAGGGTTCTGGCCAGCTCACCTGGTCAATGCTGTCCTGTGGGGATGGCCGAGTAACCAGCTGCCATACCCTAGTAGGCATCCAGCTTTGCTGTGAGCACCCTTAGCATGCACACTGCAAATCCAGAACATAGCCATGTGGCCCGGAGAAGGACACACCTAACCCTGCAAGGTGGCAGGGGGAGGTCACAGAGGTAATGTCACAAAGGGGGTGATAGCTATCCAAGCTGCCCCCACCTCTAGCCCCTCCTCCCTTTAAGAACATTACCTTGTCCTCCCCTCCAAAAGACCCCTTTAGCCATCTGGAGAAAACCTTTCTAAAAGTTCAGCTCCAAGGCCACCTCTTCTTGGAGATTTTCCTAACACCGTCTCCTGTAAATATATCTCCCAGGACCCCAACAGTTCCACTGGGGAATATGAGACACTTCAGTGTGCCTATTTACCCACCTCTTTTACCCCAAGTGTCAAGGCAGCGATAGCATCCTCCGTGCCTAGCACATTGTTATCAAAGAATTCAGATACTGAGCTGGTGGGAAGAACAGCTCTTTTTAAAGTGTCTGTGTGGCAGGTACTGGGCCGGAGTATTTATATTCATTCTCTTTACAGATGAAGAAACTGAGGCACAGAATAACTTGCTCAAATTCAACAAGACTCAGAACACAAAGCCAATTTTTTTTTTTTTTTTACTTCAAGGCCTCACCCAACAGGTCTAGCACCGTCCAATAGAACTTTCTGATGACAGAAATGTTCTATATATGTACCAATATGGCAGCCAACAGCCACCTGTGATTACTGAGCACTTGCAATGTAGCTAGTGAGACTGAGAAACTGAGTTTTAAACTTTATTTAAATAACTACATGTGCTACCGTATGTATTCGACAGCACAGGTAGAAGTCTTGGATCTGAAGTTTACCTCTTGCTCACTGGCTGTGAGATCTGGGGCAAGCCACTGCCATCTTACAAAGTGTAGTTCCCACGAGGAAACAGTGGGAACACTTTCTGAAGTTACCTTTCGGCCTACTTGAGATCATTACATGAGAAGCACTAAAATTCTGTATAGGCAGAGAGTGTGGTAGCAGAAGTGGATGGTACCTAGACTGCAATGAAGAGGTCTCTGGGTTGGAGCCCTTGGCAGGGATGTGAGGATCTGTCTCAGGGCCCAAGTACCAGCCATATGGCCTTAAGTGAGAAAAAGCCCCACCTCCCTTCCTTTCACATATACACACAGAGCATAGACCTCATGCAGCCCCAAAGGGGCAAGAAGAGACTTTAATTAGGGGAGGGAGGATCCATCAGATAAGAAAAGGTACAGCGAGCACAGGAGCACAGGAGCTGGAGCAGGGGGAGAAGGGCCTGGCTGGGAGCTCTGGAGGAGGACTCACCTCTCCACCTCCAACTCAGGCACTACACTGACAGACAAGGCGACACAGTGGCCCCTCTCCGTTGGGAGGGCACGAAATGGCCCCTGAGGTCAGAGGTTGCCTGGCTTTCAGGCCCCAGCTCCTACGCATAGCTGGTAGTCACCGATTCAGCTCTTGTCCCTTAACAGTGTTGGGTGGTCATCTTCAGGCAGAGCTCAGGAAGCTAGCAGAGGGTCCCCACAGCTTCTACTCAGCCCAACAAGGCTTGGATATAAGAGGGCAGGGGAGACAAACTGGAGTCTTATCCCTCCCTCCCCACCTGAGGCTGCATGGGGAGGAACAGTAGTCGCCTTCTGGCTCCAGGCCCGCCCAGACCCACAGCGGCCAATAAGGTACAATCACTGGGACCAGTCACAGTCACTGGAGGTGAAGGTTGTTTGTTTTTTTTTAAAAAAAAAAAAAAAAGAAGAAGGTTACAGTCTCCTACAAGCACAGAGTTTAAGTTTTAAGACGTTAAAAAAAAACCTGTCCCAACCCAGGGGACTGAACATCAGAAGCCAGCCTGACCAGGCACTGGTGGCCTTGGGGCAGGTCCACTGCTGCTTTCTTGCCCAGCTAGCAAGCACACCACCCCCCTCCCTCAGCCAATGCCCACCCCAACCCAGCTCCCCACTCCCACTCCCACTGCTGCTGCCGCTGCTCCGGGAAGCAACTCCAGGACGCCTTCGCAGAGATGCGGAGGAGGCAGAGGGGGAAGGCCAGGAGATCCAGCCAGATGGTTTAAAACTGTCAAGAGAAGCAAGAGGCAGTGAGTGGTGGTTATTATTAGATCCTGCCGGGCCTGCTCTGGGGAGACGGGCTGATCCAAGAGCAGCCACTGTGCTCAGATCTCTGAGGTGTGAGGCTGGGTCCCAGGACACCTGGTGGACACACTCTTTCTAATTCAGCAGTGTTCGGCAGGGATCTATGGGGTACTGGCCCTACACCTAGCACTAGACCAGGCAGAACACTAAAGGGCAACATGACTTCTCCACAGCTCCCCTTGGCCATGGCACGGAGGCTGCTAAATAGCCCTGATACAATGCAATGCTTGGTGAAGTGAGGTTGCCTTCCTTGAAGATGGGGTGCTCATACAAGGGGCCTGGTGACAGGGGCCCAGGATCTGGTACTTTGTGTTATGCTCTGGTTGATCGCCCAACTAGAATAGGCCCTTGAAACCTTTTCTACCCTCAGGTATCTGCCATGATGCCTAAAACAGTACTGCACATTTAGTAAACCAGAGATTGTAAACCGATGGCCCATGGGTTGAACCCAGCGCACAGAGATGTACCGTTTGGCACACACAATGGTTAAAACAATATGAATTACGCAACTGCCAACTTTTAAAACATGCCACATACAAATTCGGATTTGGGGATTCTTTTCAAAAGTGGGAAGATGAAGCCACGATGGGCTAGAATTGGGTGGCGGTGGTCCTCTTCAGACGAGACATGTGCTCACCAGTCCCCGCCCAGCCTGCTTCACTCGTGTACGTTCCTAACCGACCCCTGCATGCACCTGAGTTTGTAACCCCGTCAGATGCTGTGGTACCATCTTAGTTCCTCAAGTCAGAAAACCTAGCTACAAGTCCTGGTTCCTCATTTACTGGCTGAGGGACTTTGGGCAAGTGGATTAAATTCCCAAAGCCTCAGTTAACTCATCTGTCAACTGGAGATAACACCTGATGCAAAAAAATATTAGATGAGACCTGTACACGTGCTTTTTTAGCTGTATAACTCTAGAGAAATGCAATTATCATACTAAGTAAATGGTTGTTGAATGAGTGAGCCAAATACTAAATTAGGACAAGAGCTATTTTTCCTTACAGTTGAATGTAGAGGTCTCCAAGCGCTCTGGCCACAAAACTTTGGCGCTATAATACATGGAAAACTTACTATCTGCCAGGTGTTATGCTTTGCATACATAGCTCATTTAATGTTAAACCATTCTGAAAGGTAAATATTATCCCCATTTTATAGCTGAGGAAACTGAGTAGGTGGTAGAGTCACAGTCTGTGTGATTTTAACCACCACACTACCCTGTGCACACAGTACAGCTACTTTCAGCGCTGGCCACCCTCAGTATAATTAAACCCCAGGGGAAGCAGGTGTAATTTCCATTTTTAGGAATCTGAGCTCCTTCTGGGCTGGGTCTGTATGCTCTTGTAGGAGTAAACACTAAGTCCACCATCTAGGGATCACAGTCAGCTCTGAGTGGAACATGTCAACAAACCGAAGACTGTTTGGAAGAAGAAAACAAAGAAAGAAGGCATGTCCTAATATCAAACAAGAACAACTATGTCTTCAGTTCATCAATGTAAACAATTCCTCCCTTTGGAGGACTGTACTCCTTTCAGTTAGAAAGGCACAAACAATTTAAGGGGATCTGGAGGACTTAAGGCATGAGAGTGATGGAAAGCAGGCTGAAGAAACCATGGCCTTAAGCCTGAAAAACAGATGCTGAAAAAAAATACTTAAGTCTGCTTGAAAAGTGGAATTACATCATAATTAACTGTTCTATATTCCTAGAAAATTTGTATGCGGGTTTAATTTGCCTCACTTGGGTTTATACTAAATATAGGTAAGGCCTTTGCGTACATTTTGAGATGAGGAAATGAGCCACACTAAGAGAGGTGTCACTTAGACACCCAGAGATGGAAAATGGCCTCCAGATCTCAAAGCTGAACTTTAAGTCTTCTAGCACAAAAGCACCTGGCTGACCTGTCACACAACAGTCCTGGAGGCCTCTGGAAATATTAACACACCGTTGGCACCACTTTCCCATCAGAGCAGATGCTAGGTTCTCAACATGCCCCAGGGCTCCTCCCACCTCTGGAAGGAAGCTGGAAAGGCCCCCTACTCACATTCTTGAGGAACTCCTCAGCCACAATGCGTGCTCGGGCATTGACCGACAGCTTCATTTCACTGATCTCCTTGTCGATCTCCTCCATGAAATGGATCACAAAGTCTACCAACTTGTGTTTGTACATCTGCTCTGTGTGGAAGTTGGTGATCAGAAAACTGATGTCATACCCCTAGAGAAGGAAGATGGTAGGGAGGAGAAGAAACAGGAGAGAATTAGCATTCTGCGAGTACTTAGCTGGCCAAGTCCTCTACTTTCACTCATCCACATACTTCCAGCTGCCTGTGATCTGCTCCTAAGCTAACACCATTTCAGTCATCAGCCCCTGCTTTGGTGGGGTGACTATGCTTGATCTGAGTGACTGAACCCAGCTGTGAATTTTGTGTATAACAGACGTCTCTGGAAGACAATCTATGGCACAAACAGTTGCATTCAGAGTGAGTTACAAGAGTGTAAAGGGTCTTGAAATCTTGTAACAGAAGATTCTAATCAAACAACTGGAAACGTTTAGTCTAGAGAAGAGATGATGTGGGGAGGGATGGGACTGAGGTCTGGAACTATCTGAAAGTTGCACGTGAAACAGCAACTTTCTTTATTAAGTGTGGCCCCAGAGGTTAGATCAAGGACTGGCAAAGAAACGTTGGACTGATTTTAAGGAAGAACTTGGCCAACATGTCTGATGATGGCATGTGCTGCTCTGCATGGTATTGCTCTGTCATTGGGGATATTTTAAGTCCACCTGGTAGGGAGTCTGTGGAGAGAATTTAAGCACAAAATCAGGCAACGAATGACCCAATATCATTTGCAGCTCTGAGAGACTATGATTTGGTTGGTGGCAGAGCTTAGAAAGAATTCCTAATTTTGTATTTTCTGTTGCTACATGGTAGGCTCTTGGAAGATGAGCAATCCATTGTGGGAAATTATCAGCCTGGGAATGATCTGCACGCGGACACTCCCGAGCTCATTTCAAGGTCTCCGGGATCCGGACCGCATGTCCTGCACGCAGACATGCCGTTCCCTCCTGCAAACGGGAGGGAACACCGAGTCTCTGAGAACTTGCTGATCTGTGAGCCTTAAAGATAAGTTTGGATACTTGTTATAGTCTTGATGTGCTTTGAGGAAGAAAACAACTTATATTTAGCTGGCATAATGCCCAGGCGGAGACCTTAAAAATAAACCACTGCAAGTCCTCAGGGCTGCAGTCTTGTTTGTCCTTGTGTGTGTCTGTCTCTTTTGTTCATTTCGCTGCCCTAAACTGCAACAATCCATCTTTTTTGCCTTTTCCATGGTTGAGGTGGACCCAGTTTCTCCTAAGCTTCTGATTTACTTTACTCCACTCCAGCTGAAATGAAGGCCAACTCTCAACTCAGTCAATGAGAGCCCTACAGCCAGAGAAACAGCAATCCTGGGTCTACAAACAGTCCCAAACCAGTGACAGTGAATTCAGAAACCATGGCTGGCTGTGGTAGAACGCCTGGGTATTACAAACATAGGTCACAGGCCACTAGGAGATAGTGGTGAACCCAGGACAAAGGTCCCAGCCCCACTGGGTCTTACCTCCACTGGTTTCCTTCGAAGGATAAAGAAATTCTCTGCTCGCATCATCATGAAGCGCATGAATTTATGGCATAAGATCTTCTCGATCTCATCAGCCTGGGGAGAACAAAGGAGAAACAGATTTCTCTGATGTGGCACCCTAACCCAACAGAAACCTGAAGCCTGGTCGCTGGACTCCAAATTCCCCCAGGCTTGGTGGAAGCAGTGGGGTTTGGTATTGAAAGTCACCACTGCCTGAACTTTGAAATGTGGGGGAACTGGTTGCCAACTGAAAAGAGGGTCTACACAAGGACCTCTCCAACTCAATAGGGTATTATTATGATCTTGTCTTTACTCATTCCAGAAAGGTACTCCTGACAGACCTGAGTCTTTTATCAGCTGCTTCCACAGTCCATACCTATATTCAAAGCTGCCAAGTGGCCTTTCTCTTTCTCATTTCACTAGTGCTGCATTCCCTGAAGTGTGTGACGTGTACCATCTAGGGTATCAGAGATCAACTTAGATGGTCTCCACTTTAATAACACTGAACATCAAACAATTCCCAAAGTTTCTCCCTTCTAAATTCTCTTTCAATAATTTTAAGAGAAGGACTTTGCAGCTAAGTGCTGGTATGCCCTTAAAAAAACCCAAAACCAATCCCATTGCTATCAAGTCGATTCCAACTCATACTGACTCTACTGGGCAGAGTAGAACTGCCTCATAGGGTTTCCAAGCAGCAGCTGGTGGATTCGAACTGCTGACCTTTTGGTTAGCAGCTGAGCTCTTAACCACTGCACCTCCAGGACTCCCTTAACACTTCCCAATTCTTGTTAATCTCCCCTTTTAAGAAAGACAGCAAGCCCTAAGACTTAGAGCTTTCTGCAGGCAATAGTGTCTAGACTGAATTTAATATGACTGTTTTGTTTTCATTGTGTTTATTTTTAGAATTACTCTCTATTCGTGGCAAGTGATACTGTTTTTCTATTTACGGTAGTGCTATAAAGTTTCTTTTTCAAACAAATTTAAGTAAAAGAAAATAACCTCATTTAAAGAAATCTATTAATTAAATAACCATCCAGATGGTCTTAAATTTGGCAAAAATTATGGGGGTGGCAGGGACTGACAGACATTTGTGAAATGTTGCCTGAGGAAACGTAATAAACAGCACTTTGTGTGTGTTTTTTTTTTTTAATACTGTAAACTTTAGTCTGTGTGCAGCTATCAAATTGGTACTGTTACTGCTTATTTTTCTGAACTGGACTTACTCCTCATTCCTTTGGAATGGTTCTCTGATCTGACACCCCATGGCCTTGGCTGCTGTACTTCCTACATTCTCCACCGCAGCAAGGCCTCGGAGGTGGGCGTGTCCTCTCTTTCTTTTTTATTCTACTGATCTGCAAAGTTTAGCAAATCACATCCTGGGCATATTCCAGGAAGCAGAGCCTATGTTTCCTGCACCCTTAATCTGGCATGCTAACCTCTTGGATGGGGGTCCCTGGCTTGGGAGAGAACTCCCAACTCTGGGCCTCCTGGGAAGGTAGGGGCTTCAAGGTGAGCTCACCTGTTTCACAGCAATGCTGACCCGGACAGAGTTGATGGAGCCCTCAATCAGAACCTTTTCCTTCTCATTCCTGCTGATGGTCACGGGTTGCAACAGGAGCTCTTTGCTACTCCTGAAAACACAATGTCACAGAGGCCTCTGTACTATGGAGGTAGAGAGCAGTCACGCAGACCCCGCAGCAGGTCCTGGAATCATGATCTGAGAACACCAACTCCAAGGAGTAGGAGACTCACAAGCAGGGGTGCTCCCAGATGGGGGCCAATGAGCATGTTCTCCAGCAGAAACAGCACAGGCTCTGCAGTCAGGGTGAAAAAGTTTTGAGATCCAGCCTCCTCTGTTACTTTCCTTGGGCAAGTTACCCTATTGGAATCTCAATTTCCTCATCTGTAAAATGACTGTGACTTCTATTTCACTGGTGAGGACTGAAGAAGATCAAAGAGAATCAAGCGTCTTCTAGCATGCCTGGCACACAGTAGGAGCTTTACAAACGACAGCTCTTATTTCAATAACTACGGGCAAACCCATCTACCACTTAGGGAGAGGGGAGAAAGAGCCTGCTTTTACAGATAAGAACAAACAAATATGGAACAGCTCCTTTAATTATCAATCCAGAATCGTTTACTGTTTACCACTGAGACCCCTCTCAGCTGAGGCCTCTACTCAGTTCCCTTGAGTCCCTAAATATTTGTAATAGTAGTTAACTGTGGTGGTGGTGTCCGTGAGCTTTTCTCAGCATTTCAAAACGCCTAGTAGAAATCATACACGTTAAGCAGAGAACACAGCACATCCTAACTACTGTACCAGTTATTTATTTTTTTAAAGTCAAACCTATCTAGTTAGTGTGGAAACACTAGTTATCTCAGTTATACATATCCTAGATTAAACTTTAAAAGAAAAAAAGAATAATTTACTTATAAAACATAAACTAAATAAAAGAAAATAATCCAAAACATAAAGTATTTAAAGCAGAAGGTGAGACATAAGAAGTAAAGTGTCTAGGCTGGTAGGAGGAAAAAAAAACCTTGGTCCTTAAATTAAAAAAGTATGGCATTAGCATCTCAGACATCTAATTTCTCTATCCTCTCTTTAAATTGCCAGGGGTTCAATAACACCACAGGAGATACTACACAAACAACCCACTCTGCAAAGTCACACATTGTGTCAATCAATCTTGGTTCCAGGGTAGTTTCTCCCCTGGGTTTTCTCCTGCCAACCCAGTGACCCTATTTTCTGAACTCCAAATCGAGAACCATTGTTCAGCTGGCAGCAAGACAAAATATGTGAACTGCAGTCTGTCCTGACAACTCCAGGACACAAGTTTATGGCATCCTCTAGACAATAAACATCACTGTGTGCTGCACCATTCATTCCCCCCCCCCAACCCCGACCTTTTCCCTCCCTACCTGACTTCCACCTCTGGCTTGTTGTGTCGTTCCACAACCTGGGAAGAGAAGTTCTCCAGGCAGAGGGCAGCCTGCAGCGTGGCCCGCACGGCACTCAGGTAGGGGCGGAGAGTGGCAGTCTGTAGGAAAATACCCAACGAACATGGAGGATCAGAATTCATGAACCTTCCCCCAACCCAGAGCCGCTGGCAATCCCCTCTTTATCTTCAGTTCACACGGGAGCCAGGCAGTACCAATGGTGCTCGCATATGGGTGCCTGGCTCTCAGACACCATAGTGAACAGAACAGACCAGGCCCTCAAGGCACTCAGTCTGGTGGTGGTGGTGGGGGGGCGGAATTTGCCCCCAGGGGACATTTGGCAATTTTGGCCTATTTTTGATTGTCACAACTAGGGGGAGGGGTGCTACTGGCATCAAGTGGATACAGACCAGGGATGCGCTCAACATCCTATGATACACAGGACAGCCCCCACAAGCAAGAAGTACCCAGCTGCAAGTGTCAATAGTGCTAAGTTGAGAAACTCTGGTCTAGACATACAGGTGAATGACTGTCCACAATCTGTCCACTGAGTAAACAAATGTATAGATCTACTACTGTATGTCGGACACTAAGCTGTTGTTGTGGTTTGCCATCAAGTCGACTCCAACTCACAGCAACCCCACATGGCAGAGGATAACTGCCCCATAGGGTTTCCTAGGCTGTAATCTTTACAGAAGCAGATCGCCAGGTCTTTTCTCCTACAGAGTGGCTGGTGGGTTCAAACCTTTCAGTTAGCAGCTGAACGCTTAACCGCTGCACTGCCAGGGCTCCTTAGGCACTGAGCCAGGTGCTGGGAATTCAAGATGATTAAGACCATCTCTACCCTCAAATACCTCAACCTGGTGGGGGAGACAAAGAAGTAAATGACTATGGTACAAAAAATGTGAAATAATTAGATATATAAGTAATCTATATCTGCAGAAGAAACTAGCTTGATTTGAAGATGGAAAAAGGATTAGGAGGATTTTATGAGCAAAAAGTAGAACAAGAACATTCCCAGTAGAGGGAGCAGCTTCTAGCTACATTGGTTTATCTTCAGTTCCTTATATTAACCAAGTTTTTTCTCACCTCAGGGCTTCACACATGCTGATCTATTTACTGACAGGCATTTCTCTTCTCTCTTTGCCTAAGTATCCTTCCACCTCAGCTTAAGGCCTCTCCCTTCCTCACAGAGGCCCTCCCTGACTTCCACCTCTAAAGCAGGAACCCCTGTATTCAATCTCATGCCTCAGGTTTTCCCTCCTTCATAGTATTTATCACAATTCGCAACAGCACATCTTTTAAGTCTTTTGTAGCTTCTCCTTCACAATCTCTAAGCTTGTGAGGGAAGAGACTGTGTCCAGTTTATTCACAGCTATACATCCTGCACCAAGCTCAGTACCTAAAACAAAGAGCGCTACTACTCATTCTCTGTAGAATGAATGAATGAACGACAGAAACAATGTCAGCAAAGTTAGAATAACACAAAAAGATATTAAGAATTCCAGAAGTGGTAATGAGTACAGTATTGCTGTATATTGGAACACAACTCAGTAAATGAGGCAAGATCATGGAGATTCTCGAATGGCAAGTTACTAAGTTTAGCTTTTTGGGGGCAGTAAGGAACTGTTGAGGCTTTCTGAGGAGGAAGTTACATGACTGCAGCTGCATGGTGGCTCTGTAGAGAATGGATTAGAGAGGGAAGTGAGAAGTAAGGCAGAAAGGGTTATTCAAGAACTGCTGATGAGAGCCTGGCCTGGGGCAGCAGAGACGAAAAAAAGAGGGTATCACAGAGATTAGACTAACAGATGTAGAGCATAATGGAATCAAAGAACAACTCCCAACAAACTGGTCCCTCCTTATGATGAAATACTACTCAGCAATAAAAAGGAACAACTACTGATGCCTACAACATGAATGATTTTCAAATGTATTATGGTAAGTGAAAGAAACCAGACTAAACAGGCTACATAATAAAGAATTCCATTTATGCAACATTCTGGAAAAGGTAAAACTATACAGATCAAAAAAATAATCAGTGGTTGCCTAAGGTGGGGGGAGAGGAAACCATTATAAAGGGGCTTAAGGGAATTTTTTGGGATGACGGAAATATGCTAAATGTTGATTGTGGTAGTGGTTACATGACTGTGTGCCTGTCTAAATTCACAGATGGTAAACCTAAAAGCCACCAACTGTCAGTTTGTTGTGCTGTGGCACGGTATTTCAAATACCAGCAGGGTCACCCATGGTAGACAGGTTTCAGTGGAACTTCCAGACTAAGGCAGACTAGGAAGAAATGCCTGGCGATTTACTTCCAAAAATTATCCAATGAAAACCTTATGGATCACAACAGAATACTGTCCAACATGTCGTAAGGATGATCAATAGGTGAAGGACATCGTGTTTGGTGAAACAGAGGGCCAGCCAGACCCTCAGTGAGATGGACTAGAATATGCAGGCGACTGAGGATGACACAGGACCAGGCAACATTTCGTTCTGTTGTGCATTAAGCCGCCATGAATCAGAGTCGACTTAACAGCAACTATTTATCTATTTATCTAAACCTAAAAAGGGTGAATTTTAGGTGGCCCACCCCATGACACCTGCCTTTTCGTAAATAGGAATATTTTTTTCTAATACCTCAATAAACTTGCTTTTAAAAAGGCCAATTAGAAAACAGAAGTAAAAACAAAGGAAAAACTTCCCAGGTTCTAGCTGAGGTAAGAGGACACAAAGGTAGGATAGATAACACAGAAGGAAGAACAAGCAAGTTTAGGAAGGAAGGTAAGTTTTGATCTGGAGATCTGATTTCAAAGTATCTTCAAGATTTCCAGAAGACCCTTGATATAGAGGTCAGAGCAAGGGAGGCAGATTCAAGAGTCACCAAATACACAAGGTCATCAAAGGCATGAGACGAGACAGGTGCCACCAGGGACTGTAAAGAGAGGAAGGTGGAGAGCCAAACTCACAACTCCCAGAAACGCCCACATTTATCAAATGGGAGGACTTCCAGGGACGGAGGGATCAGCAGTATTGGAGCCTACGGTAAGGCTGACACTATACAGTTATGACCAGGGCCGTGCCTGAATGGAAACAACACAAAGGGATCCTTCAGTGGGGTAGAAGCAGCGCTGGGGGCACCAAGAAGAGTGGATAAGGAAGTGTGGACGCCTTTCTTGGGAAATGATGGGGTCAGGTCGCCAGACAAGGAAAACGAAAGTGTACTTATTGAAGCTCTACTCCGGGTGGGAAGCTGGGCCTCCTACATCCCTCAGATGCCCTACTACCGGCTATGAGGCCTACTACGTGCCTGCCTTCGAAACGCTCCACAAGCCTAGGAGGCCCCACTTCCGGCTTCCTCCACGCCTCGAGTATTCCCTACCTGCTTCGAGAGCCGGACCATGAAGCCACAGGCCTGCTTCTTACCAAGGTGTCCCCCGCTCGCCTCCTCCTCACATCAGTCCCCACCCTCTTTCTCCCAGCCCCATCGTGCCCCCACACCCTCCGGTATCCCGCGGCCCCGCGCCTCCTCTGCTGCAAAGGTACATCTCCCCCAGACCCAGAGCTCTGAAGCAGAACGGTGTGGGGGGGGGTCCCTGGCCCGGGGCCCGGCTCTCTCACCATCGCGGGCGCTGGCTGGGCCGGAAAGCGGAAGTGCGGAAGTGGCCTGCCCAGCGACGCCTGCCCTTTCTCCCGAAGCGCAGCCGTAGTCTCCGCCCAGACTTCCGGACGATACTATCTCTGTTCCAGAGCGGGGGGAGGAGGAGCTTAGGAACATTTGAACACTCGGGAAGTTTTCCCGCTAGAACTATCATGGTATTAGACTCTGGAAGTTGTAGATCGATACTCAGGCTTTTCCAGGTATCCATAGAGCTCTCGCTTATGCCTTTGGCCTTCTTGTTGCCTTAGCCACCGTCTCTCCCCATAGTCATGCAATGGTTCGTCCCAGTCTCAGGTTGGGCACCATATTAGGACAGGGTGAGGCGGTGAAGCTCTTCGTTCCTTCCGGTTCTGCGCCCCCTTCCTTTCTCCAGGCTCCTCCTACCTGCAACCCCCGGTACTAACTGCTGCTCGGCGCCGACATCCCGGCCGCCGAGCCCCGCCCCTAGCCCTAGGTTCTTTAGGGTACGCCCGAGAGGTACCATCCCACCCGCAGTCGGCTCGCTGGAGGCCTGCACCCCCTCTCGGAGCCACAGCGGGATTGCCCTCGCCGTCTCCCCGCCCCCGGGTCAACTGCAGGGGGCCCGCCCATCGCTAGTTCCGGGGCGGTTGCTCCCACCGACCGGAACTCCTCGCCCCCTCCCGCGGCCCCGGGGGCCGTACGAGGCCGCAGTGAGGAGGTAGAGGCGGAGGAGGCCGCGTTAGAGGGTCCCTAGAGGGCGGACATTCGGGCGACACACGGGTTGGGCCAGTCATTGTAACAGTCCCACTTCTTCTGTGCCAGGCACTGAGCTGAGCTCTTGACGGGCATCATCTCTTAATCCTCAGAACATCCCGGGGAGGTATGTACTATTGTTATCCCCATTTTACAGACGGGGAAACTGATTCAGAGAGGCAAATGGACTTGTCTTCTTTTGTCCCCATTTTACAGGTGGAAAAACCGAGACTCAGAAAGGTTAAATATGTTCAGGGTCACAAGCAGAGAATGGTATAAAAACTGAGGTTGAACTCAGGGCTGTCTGGATACCCAGCACACGTTCCTAACACTATCAGGGACATAGAAAAGAGAACTGGGTAGGAAGGGGTGGGCCATGGAGTGCATGGGAAGCAGAGAACTCTGTAAGAATTAGATGCTTGGAAACCAGGAGGAATGAGACAAAAGGGAAGAGCATCAGAAAGACAGGGTACATTGTATTGTGATCAGGGGCACAGACGTGAGACTATCTGGGTTCAAGTTGCATTTCTGTAAGCTTAGGCATGTGCCCACCCTTACAGAGTCTCAGTTTCCCTGTCTGTAAAACGGAGATGACAGTGGTTCCTGCTCCTGGGGTTGGGTGAAGAATTCCACAAGATAAGCCTGTAATGTACTCTGCACCTAGTTTGGTGCACAGTGGGTGCTCTGTGAGTAGGAGCTGTGCCATCAGCATTGTCAGAAGTTACTGAAACGTGACTTCCTCATTGAAGCTGTCTCTGGTGGAAGGAGCCCTCGGGCTTTGCTTGTGACAGTTTGTCCCCCAGCAACCTTTTATCCCCAGCTCCACAGGATTCCTTATCCTGGGCCATGAGTGAGCTGAAGGACTGCCCGTTGCAGTTCCATGACTTCAAGTCTGTGGACCACCTGAAGGTCTGTCCCCGCTACACAGCAGTGCTGGCCCGCTCTGAGGATGATGGCATCGGCATCGAGGAGCTGGACACCCTGCAGCTGGAGCTTGAGACTCTGCTGTCTTCTGCCAGCCGGCGCCTACGGGTGCTGGAGGCAGAAACCCAGGTGATACCCCACCTGCTAGACGTTGTCAGGGAGCAGGGGCATTGCCAGAGATGGACTGTGATAAGATAGCAGGATGGGACATTGAGTTAGCTCCATCTGCTGGGGCGTGGGGTACAGGCCCTTATGGGGGGGTACAGGAGACCCAAACTGGACTTGTGAAACTAACACAGGATCCAGCACACTGGGGGTGGGGGGTGGAAGGATGGGGTGTGGGGGTGAGGTAAATGCTTAGTAAATTACAGATCTTGCAGTTTATGAGGATCGCGCACCTTCATGTATATTTTACCTGCAAGAATGCGCATGATCCTCATATATTGCAAGATAATTCACTAAGCATTTATTGGAAACCCTGGTGGCGTAGTGGTTAAGTGCTACGTCTGCTTACCAAAGGGTTGGCAGTTCGAATCCATCAGACGCTTCTTGGAAACTCTGTAGGGCAGTTCTTACTCTGTCCTGTAAGGTTGCCATGAGTCGAAATTGTCTTGACGCCGGGTTTGGTTTTTGGTTAAACGTTTGTTTACCCGCCATTATGAGCCGAAGGAGCCCTCGTGGTGTGGTGGTTAAAGTGCTTGGTTGCTAACTGAAAGATCAGCAGTTCAAACCCACCAGCCACTCCGTGGGAGAAGTATGTGTCAGTCTGCTTCCCTAAAGATTTATAGCCTTGGAAACCCTATGGGATAGTTCTACTGTGTCCTATAGGGTTGCTGTGAGTGGGAATCCACTCCACGCAATGGTTTGATTTTTTTTTTGGTGATGTACTGAGTCCCATGCTAATAATTAGAGAGGTAATTAAAACAATTCTGGCCCTCAGGCAACTTGCCAGTTAAAGGGAGGGGGAGGTCAAACACATACCAGATAATGTATTATGGTTAGGAATATTAGGAGGACTGGAGTGGGGAGACCTGGATTTGAATCCTTGACTAAGCTGTTGCTAGTGTTGCTGCTTCCTCGCTATGCGACCTTGAGAAAGTTGCCTCACGTTTCTGAGCATCCATTTCCCCATTTGCAAAATGGGCTCAATAACAGGACCTACCTAAGAGCATTAGTGAGGATAAAAAGAATTTTTGCAAAGACTCAGCTTTGTGTCTGACACTTAATAAGCATTTCAAGTATTATTTATTGATACTATACTGATTATTTTTATTCGTTGCATAAACATCTCCCAAATCCTGTGTGCCAGGCACTGTACCAGATCCTGGACAACAGAGATAGTGAAGATGAGCTTCCAATTTCCAGCAGTTTATAATCTAGTTGAAGAGACAGGGTGAGCCATATTCCAGTATGACCAAACATCATTGTTGGCTCTGCAGTGGAGGTCTGAAGCACCAGAGTCTCAAAAAGGAAGGGGATGCCATTTCCACTGGGCCTCACAGGATATGTAGATTTAACTTGTGACCCCTGGGAATCTGTTGTTGATTTTGAGCAGGGCTGTGGCACAATGAGAGTCATGTTTGAGCATCTAAGAAGCTATGTAACTGGTGTGGAGAAGGCTTCCCAGTTGTGACGTTTGAAGTGAAGGTTTGTTGAGAGACTTGCTTGCCTTCGCCAAAAAGTTACCACCAGAATACCTTACCAGGGTTAACATGTCTTGATGTTTAATCATTTATTTGACCTCTTTACTAAACGCAACGTGCCTGGCTTGGGTGATGCAGACGGAAATCAGAATAGAGCCAAACAAGTGAATGGAATGATAACTATGTGAATAAAGTCCTGTGAAACAAGGGCAGAGAAGAGGAATTGGATTATGAGGGATTAGGAGTTCGCTAAACAAAAAGAGGATGGGGGAAAGATTTTGAAGCCTTATAGGTTTGTAGATCCCAATTTATTGATTAGAGAAAATGTTCTATGTCTTTCCTTCTCTCCTTTTTCCTCAGTAACAAGTCTCTGTGAATTTCAGATCCTCACAGACTGGCAGGATAAGAAAGGTGATCGACGGTTCCTGAAACTAGGTCGAGACCATGAGCTTGGAGCTCCTCCAAAGCATGGCAAGCCCAAGAAGCAGAAACTGGAAGGGAAGGTGGGACATGGGCCAGGCCCTGGCCCCGGGCGGCCCAAATCCAAAAATCTTCAGCCCAAGATCCAGGAATATGAATTCACTGATGACCCCATCGATGTGCCGCGGATCCCCAAGAATGACGCCCCCAACAGGTTCTGGGCCAGACAATGTAGAGGGGACTTCAGGAATCTGGAAGTGGAGGGGTCTGAGGCTGATGGGGCAGGAGGTGCCCACTCAGGATCTGCTTCTCTCTGCAGGTTCTGGGCTTCAGTGGAGCCCTACTGTGCTGATATCACCAGTGAGGAGGTGCGCACGCTAGAGGAGCTACTGAAACCCCCGGAAGATGAGGCTGAACATTACAAGGTAGAAACCTTGGACCTCGATAGAGATGGTGGAGAACAAGGGTGCTCAGAAGGTGCATTGGAATCACATACCAAAGACGTATCATTTTCCTTCCCCACCCCTACCCAGCCTCCTGTCCTTAAACCCACCCAGACCCCATGCTCAAACTCGGCTTTCTCCTTGTGCACACCTCCCCTCGACCCCACCCAAATGGTCTCCACCTCCTGTGGTATCTACTTCAGTGGAGACCTCCCTTTTCCCCTCATCCCCTTCCCTTCTATTTGGTTCAAACCTTCATCAGCTTTTACTCAAGTAGCCTCTTAACACTGTCCCTACTTGTAGGTCTCCAGAGTGACCTTTTTTTTTCTTTGTATCTATATAAAAGTTTTGTTTTTTTTTTTTTTTCCCGTAATAAGACATTCTCCGTTAAAGAAAACATGGAAAATACAGAGAAGTTGTTGGGGGCGGGGGGGGTGGTCCTGGGGGTGCTCCCATAGGTCAGCTGTCACGATGGAATGTGCTCATGACCTGACCTTGCTTCCAAGCCTCCCCTGGCTTCCATTACCCACAGGATGAAGTCCAAGTGTCTCATCCTTGGCAGCCCTGCCCCAGCCCTGCTCTTCATTCCTTGGCCACACCTTTCTTTACTGCTGCATTCACCACCTCCCCGAGCACCTTGCCCTGGCTCCAGGTTCACACAGGGGCCCTGCAGGCCTCTGGGCCTCTGCACATGCTCTTCTCCACTTGGCAAACTGACTCACCCTCAAGGCCCTGATCTTACCCGAATGCCTTTTCAGAGTCCACAGCAGAAAGTTGGTCTCTCCTTTGTGCCACTACAAGACTTTACCTTTTATCACTTAGGTGGTCTGAATGGTTTTTTAAAAAATTTATTTGAAAATGCAGTCCATATAGGTAGTAGTAAATTCAAACAATATAAAAGGCAATTTCCTCTCACCCCTCACCCTAAGGCCCCTGGTTCTCCTCTCTAGAAGCCACAGCTGTGACCAGAGACAGTCCATGTATGTACACTGTTCTGCATCTTATATCTTGGCAGTTGCTTCATACTGGCTTCTGTGTGTGTTTTAATTATATGTACCTGTCTCTGTTTCTCGACTGTGAGTGTAGAGATTTTATCTTCCTTGTCTCTTCTCACCTATATCTGGCACAGGCCCCAGCCCTGGGCCAGGTACTGGGGAGACAGATGAGTGAATGAGGGAATGAATGAATGAAGAGCTTACTGGCAATGCCCAAGTGCACCGAGAGCCCCCACACACCCCAGGCATGGCTAGCCAGTGTCTATTCCCTTGGGGCTGGGTGGGTCTCCCCCACAGATCCCGCCCCTAGGGAAGCACTACTCCCAGCGCTGGGCACAGGAGGACCTGCTGGAGGAGCAGAAGGATGGTGCTCGGGCAGCGGCTGTGGCTGACAAGAAGAAAGGCCTTATGGGGCCACTGTCCGAACTGGACACTAAAGGTAGGCCCTTCGCCTCCCTGCCCACCCCAGGCCAGGACTTGAGGGCTGTACATGCTGATTCCCAGAACTTCAGCCCACCTGCCCTCCGCTTCTCTGCCTGCCCCAGATGTGGATGCCCTGCTGAAGAAGTCTGAGGCCCAGCATGAGCAGCCAGAAGATGGATGCCCCTTTGGTGCCCTGACGCAGCGCCTTCTGCAGGCCCTAGTAGAGGTGAGCACCCCAACCTAAACAGGAACCGTGTTTACTTCCTGTTTTCATTTTTTTTATTTTAATTTTTTTATTAAAGTATGTCATAAAGAAAAGTGCATAAATGATAAATGTACAGTTTGATCAATTTTTACAAATGAGCACACTTATATAACCAGCTCTGAGATCATACAATGAAGCGTTACCAGTATCCTAGAAGCTCCACTCATGCCCCTCCCAGTCTCTGACCTCCCCCAAAGGTAGCCACTATTCCACAGTTACTTTTACTGCATGTTGGCTAAGGGCTGAGCCCTGTGCAGGGGGCTTTCCACACATCCTCTCACTGGCAGCAAGGCCAGTGTTATATATTAGAAGATTGAGACACAAAAAAGGGAACTGTTTGATGGAGGTCACAGCTACTAGAGGCAGGATTCAAACCCCAGGTTCAGAGCACCTTGCTTTGTACCCATTGTCCCTTCACTTCGTTGAGTAGTTTCCTTTTCTGTCTCAAATACAACAGAAGTCTGTTTTTCTCTCGTGTAACAGTCTGGAGCATGTGTTCCAGATTGGCTGAGGTAGGAGGTAGGAGCCGGACTCTGCTCCACTCTTATCAGACAGGGGCCTCAGCTGATGATAGCTTTGCCATCTTAAACGTGATTTCCAAGGTCCCCTTGAGTGTGGATGCAACTCGAAGCCCACAGAAAAAGAGTGTGGGAACTTGTGAGGGAAGCTTTATGGGCTATGACTGGCTGTGGCTCTTATCTCTTCTGATCACTTCCCACTGGAGAGAATTTGTCACGTGACCACTCCGGGGAATGCAGGGGAGGCTGGGAAATGCAGCATAGCTAGGCAGCCATGAATCCAGCTACTATGGAAGAAAGAAGAGAATGGTGTTTGGGCATCTAGCATCATCTGCAACAACATGCTTAGCACAGTGCCTGGTGTTTTGCAGATGCTTAACAAACGTTAGCTATTCTCATTAGTGTGGTTGATTATTATCACTCTTCTATGCTTCCTTGTTTCTGTGTAAATGCAAAAAAAAAAAAGTTTTAGAATGATCAGAGCTGTTTGAGATCAGTTTGGAAAGACTTCCTGGAGGAGGTGGGATGGGCAACATAAAAGGATATTTCTGATCTGCAAAGACTGTCTATGTAGGTTAGAGATGAGCAGAATGAAAAAGGTACAATTCTTTTACCCTACCACTTTTTGATGGTCTTCCAGGAAAATATTATTTCCCCCATGGAGGACTCTCCTATTCCTGACATGTCTGGGAAAGAATCGGGGGCTGATGGGGCTAGCACCTCTCCCCGCAATCAGAACAAGCCCTTCAGGTGAGTGGTGTCCTATCCATACCCCACAGTCTGGCCCCTGCTTCTTTCACCTTCTGTCCATCTCGACATGAGGAGGTCCCCAGTAATAGAGAGCTGGGGGCAGTTTGGTAAAGCCCAGTAAAAATCTGAAATGTGAGTACTGGCCCAGCATTTCCACATACACAGACTTGCCCTGGGGTTGTTTATCATAGCACTGCTCATAATGTAAACAGCTGAAGGGGTTTGCTTGGCCAAATTGTATTAATTACACATGATGAAATAACTTGCAACTATTAATCATACTAGAGAAATGTACTTAATTGACGTGAAAAGATACAGAGTACTGAGGGGAGAAAATGTCAGTTATAGCACAGTACAAACAGTGTGATCTTGTTTTTACTTAAAATATGTTTGGATATATGCACATAATTAAAAAGGCTAGAATAATATATAACAAAAAATTGGGAATAATATATAACAAAATTTGAGATACATGTATAAATAACATTTAATGCAATAAAAGTGGTACTCTGGGTTGTGGTATTATGAGTTTTTCTGTGTTTCTGATTTTTTGACGATAGATACATGTTACTCATTCTTAAAAACAAGACCAGATGTATCTGTCGCTATATCCAATGGAGGGAGGGGGCCCACAGAGAGGAGGGTGTTCACTAACCTCAGGTAACCCTGGGAACCTCTGAAGTGGACCCCCTCCGAGCTGGCCCTTGGGCTGAGGGGCCATTGCCCAGAGGCTGAGGGGGACCGCCTTCCCCTGCAGTGTGCCGCATACTAAGTCCCTGGAGAGCCGCATCAAGGAGGAGCTGATCGCCCAGGGCCTCCTGGAGTCAGAGGACCGCCCTGCAGAGGACTCCGAGGATGAGGTCCTTGCTGAGCTGCGCAAACGGCAGGCTGAGCTGAAGGCACTCAGTGCCCACAACCGCACCAAGAAGCACGACCTGCTGAGGTGGGTGTAAAGTGTGATGCATGCTCTGTGGAGTGGCTGAGGAGGCCTTGGCCACTGCAGGTTACCTGCCAGGGGATTCATGACAGGCTTCCCAAACCTGGCTGGGCCTCACAATTACCTGGAAAGCCTTGAAATAAATATTGATGCGCAGGCACCTCCCCACCAGTTGTAAGTCTCAAACAGGTTCTGATTTCTCAGAGTAGGGCTCAGGCATCTATGATTTGTATTTTAAGCACTATTCTATGTTTATTTTATTTCCCCACCCAAGTCTTATTATGAAAAATATTAAGCATATGGAAAATTTGAAACAATAGTGCAATAATTGTAATATATCCTCCGCCTACGTTTATCAACTGTTAATATTTAGTTGGACGTCTGTGATTTTTATTGGCCCAGCACCAGAAATTGACCAGTGTTCTAGGACCAGTTCTTTAGGGACTTGGTAACATTGCCAACTGTTTTATATCAACTCCATCATGCATCTAGCACTGCACTGGTCGTGACAAGGGTACAGGTGAAATTTGGAGGGACCATGGTAGTAGCTACTTTTCATTAGGGAAATAGAGAAGCAACCCAACCAAGTCTTCCTGCTGCTCACAGGTAGGTGCTATGTCTTAACCTCATGGAGTCCCAACAGGGTAAGACATATTCATGCATTTGGCCAACTCCAGTGTCTCTTAGTCAGACATTGTTCCTGGGGCTAGGGAGAGAGGTAGAGCATAGGACTTGCAGTCTACAAATGGATAATTGATAAAGACGTGCGCCATTGAAAGGAGACATAGTTACTGACGAGGTGCTAAGGTATTTAAGGGTACTGAGTGCCTACTGTAAGCCAGGGGCTTTTTGTACACCATCTCATTAATCTCGACAACAACACAGGGTAGGTGGTCCATTTTCCCTGTTCACAAGATGAGGAAATACAGGTCCAGAGAAGTGAAGTGCTTTGCTGAAGGTCATGCAGCCAAAAAACAGCCAAGCTGAGACTTGAGCCCAAGGCTGAATCCAAAGCCTCTTTCTAGTTCCCACGCTCTCTCAAGGGCAAGAAAAGGAAAATACAGATGAAAGAGGCAGAGAGGGAGAGAAAGAAAAGAAGGTGTGTGCAGAGAAAGAAGGGGAATAGATAGTGAAGAAAACAGCTCAGGGCTCTCAGAAGGCCAGGAGTCCATGGGTAATGCAGGTGGTTAATGCACTTGTTGATAAACAAAAGATTGGAGGTTCAAGTCTTGGAAGAAAGGCCTGACAATCTACTTCTGAAAAATCAGCCACTGAAAACCCTTTGGAGCACAGTTCTAGTCCAGTACACATGGGGTCACTGTGAGTTAGAATTGACTCAACAGCAACGGGTTTTTTATCAGAAGGCCAGAGTACAGCTGTCACCTCTGCCTTGGAGCAGCTTTGGGGTCTTAAGGAAGGTACCTCCTCCCCTGAGCAGTAGCTTCCCCTTACAAAAAATAAAGAGGTTGGACTAGATCTCTAAGTGACCTTCCAGCTGTACCATCATTGGAATTTCTAGGCCGGATCCCATTTAGAAGGGCTTGGTTTGGCATTCTTACCCACCTTGTGTAGACCTCAGGGCTACCTGTATCCTTAGGTTGCACAGCAGGTCTTCTGCTGGCACTAGAACACCTTTTAAAGAGTGGTCTTTGAAAACACAGTTCGGAGCCTGCCTGCCTTGGTTGAGATTTTGTGCTCACGAGTCATGGGATCTTGAGGCATTACTTACCCTCCTTGAGCCTCAGTTTCCTCATTGGCAACATAGGAATAATAGTACCTACCTCACGGGTTGTTACGAAGATTAACGGAGCTAATATTTTTAAAGTGTAAAATAGTGCCTAGCACACAGAAAGTGCTATATAATTAAGTGTAATTCAGTAACTTTGCTTTCTTGGTGATGATCCTATGAAAGGGTCCACAGGCATGCCAGCCTGGGGTAGGGAGTGGGCTCGGTTTGGAAGAGGAAGGAGCTAGCTGGGCTGACCATGGCATCTGGTCTCCTGGGCCCCACAGGCTAGCCAAGGAGGAGGTGAGCCGTCAGGAGCTGAGGCAGCGGGTCCGCATGGCAGACAATGAGGTCATGGACGCCTTCCGCAAGATCATGGCTGCCAGGCAGAAGAAGCGGACTCCCACCAAGAAGGAGAAGGACCAGGCCTGGAAGACCCTAAAGGAGCGGGAGAGCATTCTGAAGCTGCTGGATGGGTAGCCCTCACCCTGACCTCTGGCTGTCTGGCCTGAGGGAGGGAGGGAAGGGAGGCCTACTTCCTTCCTTGGGCTGCCAGAAGCCATGGCTGTGGCTGTCCTATCAAATGGGGACAGTTTCTCTGGAAACTGAGGACTGTGGCTCCTCCCTGAGATCTTTTGGCCTGGCTCTGTAGAGCCAGGACACAGGAGGCCCGGCTGGGCTGGGCTGGGTCCTGTTCTCTGCTTGGCCCCTAAGTTGAGGGGCCTTCTCTTCTGGGCTTTCCTCTGCCCCCTCTTCACCTCACCATCTCCCACTCCCTCACTTCCCACCTCCATCTCCCCTTCATGGACTTCTCCCTTGTGGTTTTGTAAAGTGCACACTTAAGGTTAAAGTGACTGCTGTGGTTTTTAAAAAAGTACCCAGAGTCTTTGAGTGACTGTTATTATGGGGTATTGTGGGGTAGAAAGGAACCAGCGTGGGTGGCAGAGGTTCATGAGGGTACGCCTGATTGCTCTCAGCCTGTGGCCACTCGCCTGTGTCGTTAATTGAGGGAGAACTTTCTGAACATCTCTTTCCGAGGATACTTGTGGCTGCGAGTAACAGAATAGCCCCAGCTCAGAGTGGATTAACAGTAAGGAAATGTGTTGGCTCAGGGACTTGGCCGTGCTGGGGCAAGGTGGCCTTCAGGATGGGCCAGTGTAGTGACTCAACAGCTACTCAAGACTCCAGGTTCTTTAGGAACCTCCACAGGGTCACGGTCCACCTAAGGTGAGTTCCTTTCCTGCTGTCAGATAGCAGCCAGTAGCAGTCAAAGCCGAATACTTCCTCATTCATGTCTAGCAAGAGAGAGGGCAGGAGCCAACCGGCTTCCCGTGGCCTACCCAGAAGAGCAAGAAGCCTCTTTCTTAGACCCCCTTATGCCTCAGTGGCCCAAACTAGGTCTCACTTACCCGTTCCCAAAACAATCACTGTAGCAAGGGATGACTCTACTGGGTTTTAACTAGCCGGGGTGGAGTCTTCTACCCCACAGCCCAAGGCAATGGGGAGAGAGGGTGGAACCCCACGAAGATTTTGAATAGGAGGGGGGAAGTGGATGCTGGATAGTCTGCCTGCAGTGTCCCTTCCCCATCCTGGGCAGGAAGCTAGGCCTGAGGGGTGCTGATAAATAGATATGCTCTCATTTCTTCCCCAGGTTGTTCCCAGTTTAGCACGAGAGAGTTGGAGAAATTTGCAATTTACTGTGGAAAGGTTGAGGGCCACATAGGAGTGGGGAGGGGAAGGTTCCCTGAGAAAGTGACCTATGAACTGAGTCAAGAAGGATGGTGAGGACAACCAACATTTTTGTATGCCCAGCGCCTCTCTTGGAGAACTACCCCTTCTCTATACCATGTGGCTGTTGTGGGGCTGTCAAACTAGGGTGGATATATGGCTCTAGCTTTGCCGATCACAGTACCCATCCCTCTAGCCATAATGATTTGGTCCAGGGAGTGGGCATGTGACCCAAGCTGGACCAATCATATGTCTTCCATGAGATTTGCTCTAAGGGTGCTGAGAGAGTGTTTCTCTTCCTCTTGGATCAAAAGCCATAGAATGTAAGCTCAGACCATTCAGTGACTTGCCTTCCTGCTGCTTGAAAGAACTTGCATGAGAATAAAGTCAACCAGAAGCCGAGCCAAGAGATGGAGAAGGAGACAAAGTCCTAATGATGTAGCTGGAGCCCCTGGATCCAGCCATGCCTGAAGCTACCAATCCTCTATTGGACTTCCTAGTTACATAAGCCCACAAATGCTTCTTTTGGCTCAAACTAGTTTGCTTTAGGCCTTCCGGTGGCGCAAACAGTTTGCAGTCAACTGCTAACCTAAAGGTTGGCGGTTTGAACCCATTCAGTGGTGCTGCAGAAGAAGAGGCCTGGCAATCTACCCCCGTAAGATTACAGTCAAGGAAACCCTGTGAAACAGTTCTACTCAGTAACATGGGGTCACCATGAGTCAGAATCTACTCAATGGTAACAACAACAAGTTTGCTTTGGAGTTTTGTTCTTTATAAGTAAAAGAGGTCTTCTAGTTATAGAGGACTAATAAAAGTGGATTTGGGCAAACAGAAGGATAGAGTAGGATCCTGAGAGAATAGCATGAAGCTTTGCCTTCTGTTAGGTGCAGGGCCCAGCTGCTGCAATTTTTCAGTGACTCATGTCCCTGAGTTGTTACAGCCTTAGAGAAGGCACCCACACATGAAATGATGAGAAACCAGTTATGATAATAATAATAATGATATTAAGTGCTCAGGAAATGTTAGATACGTACCAGGTACTGTTCTAAACTTGTTAAACTACTTAACCACCTCACATGGTCAGAACGAATATCATCTCCAGTCACAGATGAAGAAACTGAGGCTTAGGAGGTTACATACCTTGCTTGGTTATACAATTGATAAGTGGTCGAGCTAGGATTCCAATTAAGGCCACTTGATTTGCAGGTAGAGCCTCTTCATTACATAAGTCGTTGGGGCTCTACTTCCATTACAATCTGTGTGAGTGGTATACCGTAGGCTTGGGCAGTGCACAGCCTGTGCAGCCATATATGGCAGCCCTGCTTGCAAATGCCCTGCTCTTAATTAACCACTCACTTCCAGATTAATTAGGCCAGACCATAAGTACTGTAGGCGTCCTTGGTAGAGTTCCAGGAATAGGGAAAGTTTTGTGGAGGAGGTGGGATGGGAGCTGAGCTCCCAAAAATAGGTGGAATTTTAACTGAGAGGAAGAAGGTAGATATTAGAAATAGAAGAACCCTAGAAGATTGCTTGGGCCTGGTTCATTAGGGGAGAGACTTTCAAAGATCAGTCAGAAGAACTATAGTTACTTTATACTGCACACCTACTACCTGTCTGGTACTGTGCTCCACGTGATTTATTTGATCCTCACCGCAAACCTCCAAAGTGAGTTGTAATAATCCCTAAGCTTGAGGATGGGAAGCTGACCCACCATGAGTCTCCAGCCCTTGCCCGCTACTAAACACTCTGGGGGACTGAGTCCCAGCTAACTCCTGCTGAGAGGCAAGCAATGGTTGAAACTTTGTAGAAACATGGTCAGGAAATCAATTCCTTTCCTGGCCTGGAGCTCAGGACTCAATGGAGAGATTCAAGCAGAAAAGGACCTCAACTCACTCTTGTTCATGTATTAATTTGCGCATCATTTATTCTTTTCACTCTTTACCTCATTCACTTATTCACTCCTTCACTTATTCATTCCATCTTTGTTGTTGTTGTTGTAAGGTGCCATCTAGTTGATTTCGTCTCATAGCAGGCCCATGCAACAGAGTAGAACTGCCCCAGAGGGTCTTCTAGGCTGTCATCTTTACATTAGCAGATTCCCAGTCTTTCTCCCACAAAGCTGCTGGGTGGATTCGAACCACCAATCTTTCGGTTAGCAGCCGAGCGCTTAATTGTCTACTCACCTCCATTTCCTAATTCGTACTTTCATTCCCTCACTCAGTGACTCTGTTGCCATGGCTGAGAGCTAGGGAGGTGACTAAGGTTCCAGAGATGAGGAGACTCTGGGCAGACAACCCCAACACAAGGCGGTAACAGCAATAATAGAGGAACATACAAAGTCTGTAGGGAGAATGACTTAGTAACAACTTAGAGGGTCGGAAAAGGTTTCAGGGAGGGCTTGGAAAAGAAGACATTCCAGACAAAAGGAATGGCACAGCACAGAGGTGTGAACAGCTGGCCTGCTTAGAGAGAGGTGAGAACTTCAGTGTGACTGAAGCCTGGGTGTGTGGACGGGGAGGGGAAGGATAAGAGATGAAGCTGGAAAGTAGGTTGAGACCAGACTGGGACAGGCTTTGAATGGCAGGTTAAGGAGCATAGGCTTTATTCTCTAGGTCAGTGGTTCTCAGAGTGTGGTCCCGGGACCAGCATCACCTGGAAACTTGATAGAAATGCAAATTATCAGGCCCCAGACCTACTGAATCAGAAACTCTAGGGGTAGCACCCAGCTCTTCCTGATGCACCTTAGAGTTTGAGAACCTTTTCTAGGTAGTAGAGACCAGAGGTGGTTTGCGATCAGGGGAGTGCTATAATTGTACTGTACATCAGAAAGTACTCTGATAGCAGCTTCGAGGCTGGAGTGATTAGAGGAAGTGAGAGTGAAGTCGGGCTAGACAGGAGCACGTTCATGTGCAAAGAAAAACATCTGAGATGATGGATGTGGCAGAAGCTGGTAGATGTCCTCCAAAATCTGTTATCCTTCTGTAGCAATAAATCCGTTGCCATCAAGTCAATTCTGACTCATAGTGACCAAAAGGACAGAGCAGAACTGCCCCATAGGGTTTCCAAGTCTATAAATCTTTATGGGAGCAGACTGCTGCACCTTTCTCCCGAGGAGCGGCTGGGTAGGTTCGAACTGCCGACCTTTTGGTTAGCCGCTGAGCTCTTAACCACTGCGCCACCAGGGCTCCTTCTCTATAGTAATACCCATTGCCGTCCAGTCAATTCTGACTCATAGTGACCCTAGAGGACAGAGTAGAACTGCCACATAGGGTTTCCAAGGAGCAGCTAGTGGATTCAAACTGCAGACCTTTTGAGTAGTAGCCGAAGACTTAACCACTGTGCCACCAGGGCTCCTCTGTGTAGTAGTAGAACCTCTGATTTTTAGTTGGACACTCAGCTTCTCTTACAGTTAGGTGTGATCATGTGACTAATGTTTTGGCCAATGAGTGTGAGTGGAGGGGATGTGTGTAACTATGAGGTCATGAGTCCCAAGGGGTGTGACCTCCATATCCCCACTTTGCCCTGGCTGGGATGCACACATGGTGGCAAGCCATCTTGGAACATGTGGTCAAAGACAACACCATAGGAACAGCAGAGCAACAAGATTGAAGAATCCAGGATCTGTCTTACCATGTAGTCATCATACCAATGTGGGACTGCTTATGGCCAGATTATTATACACTTCTATTTTTACTGAAGTCACATTTATTTTGAGTCTCTGTTAGAGAAGCCAAATCTGTATCCTAGCTGATACAGTGGGCATGTGGCATGCGAAGCATTGTTTTTGAACCTTGCCTACTCGATTGCCTGCCTCCTTCCTTTCTTCCTTTTCTCTCTCTCTCCCACTCTTCTTTCTTCCCTCCCTCTCTCCTTCCCTCCTTTTTTCTTTCTTCTGCTATATCTCAGAAGTATTTGAGATGGATTATAATCATGGATATGTACATTGAGTTTCATAAAACACAAATATAAAGTTAATCCCTTTAGGCTTTATGGAGCTGCTGTCATTAAGAATCAGATTTAGCTCTAAGCTTCCTGGAAGCTAAGGCAAAAATGAAAACAAGGTCAGTCAGTCTTAGAACTTTTGGTATCAAAGGAAAGAGCATTTCCTGGTTTCCCTGACAAAAATTCTAATGTCTCTTT